AATGTAATTTATACTTTATTTTATGAACTCTATTTAGGATATCGAGTTCAAATTTATTAATTTACCCTTTGTAAGAATTCATCGAATATAAAAATACATATTTCTTACTGTATGTTTTGTTGTCTTATTTAACATCAATATCACATCAGCCACAGAACACCATAACATAATATCACTCCTTTTATCCCCGAAGGGGTAGGTAGAGGTGCACATAACAGCACTTAATGCCACTGTACAACGTAACACCCACTTTTCACTATTTATGTTATGAGTCCCATGTAATAGGAGGTGAGCCTGTTGCCATATACCGGCAACAATCCTGAGATTTTTTTAAAAACCCAGTGGTTCTTTGCCCGACCCGGAAATTGAACCCGAGACCCTTGCCCGGCAGTAGCACTTGCGACCACTTGGCCAACAACACCCACTGCTTCAATCGAACACCCACTGCTAAATATGGGCAAATCAAGTAAACACGTCTAGTCGCTTTAAACTCTTTAAACATGTGCGGCAACTGTAGAAGAGAAGATTGAATAGAATAGAACTGAAAAGAATTGAATAGGAGTTTAAATAAGTTCCTCGCAGATAGAAATAGGAGCCCCTCTAGGCGGGGCTAAGTGGACCTGCAGCTGTAGCCAAATGCCATTTAGCGCTTGTCTACATGTAGAATATAATACCAAATTATTATTTTTTTTCTTCTTTGGCAACTGAACCAAATGGAATTGATGTAAATTTTGACACTTGTCAGTGTCATCCCCATACATTTAGGCACTGTGCCTTTAGCCAAACGCCACTTTAGCGCTTGTCTACAGAGAGAGTAGAAATCAAAATGTATGGGGATGACACTGACAAGTGTCAAAATTTACGTCAATTCCATATTATTTGGTTTTCTACTCTACATGTAGACAAGCGCTAAATGGCATTTGGCTACAGCTGCTGGTTACAATAGACCATTCACGTTTTGCATTTGTGTGTGTGTATTGTTTTGTGTTAAATACGGCAAAGGTAAAGCCTTAACGAATTGAGATTAATCAAGAAAACAAAAAAAACAATTTCTAATACTTTTATTGTCTCAGCATTGCAACACATATTCTATTGCTACTAACTAAAACTACATAATATCAAGTATCTTATAATATCAATATAGGTTCATTAAATTAAAGAAACAGAACAATAAATGGCACTTTGGTATAAAAAAAATTAAAATGCCATGAATTTAAACATGAAAAAAAAACTTGCAACAAAATTATGATTTGATCTCAAAATATCCAAAAAGAGTTAGTTACCTGAGTAAAATTATTCTTATTATAAATCACTGATCTTCTTAAAGCATATTAATATCAATACTTTACAAGCGAATTAGGAAAAAAAATATCATAGCATCACGCCCTTTATCCCCTAAGGGGTAGGCAGAGGTGCACACTATACCAGTGTACAATGTAACACCCCACCCACTTTTCACTATTTATGTTATGAGTCCCATGTAATAGGGGGTGAGCCTATTGTCATATACCGGGCACAATTCCAGACTCCGTGCTACTACTGAGAATATTTAAAAAAAAACCAGTAATACTTTGCCCGACCCGGGAATCGAACCCCTTGCAGTCGCACTTACGACCACTCGACCAACGAGCCAGGAAAAAATACTTAACTTTATTTCACGTTTTAGGGCCAATTTTTCCAGCACCATTTAAACTGTGGAATAACTTTGAACATTTGATAATGCTTCCATACTAAAATCTATTAAAATATGTCAATTTAAGAATTATCTGATTATAGAAAAATCGATCCTACGTCCGTAATGAATCCTTACTTATTAATATTATAAATCTGAAAGTGAATTTGTTTGTTTGTTTGTTTGTTCCACCTTCACGCCGTAACCACTCAACCGATTGCTTTGAATTTTTGCAGACGTAAAGTTAGAAGTCCTGATTAAATAATAGGGTACTTTTTAACCCGGAAAAATTGATATTCCCGAGGAAAAACAGAAGTATTGGTATAAATGGCGCTGTGTGTATTGGTATATGTCACATAGGCTACTTTTTATTCTTTTGTAACGCGAGCGAAGCCGCGGGTAAAAGCTAGTATGTTAATAAACTATCATTAAAAAGACAAACACACAAACAATATAATATCAATATTCTTGTCTTAAACAAATCCTTTTTTGAGCATCTGTGTGTAATGTTAATTATTAGGGTAGCAGACGGTGTATGAAAATTAAAAAGGTATTTAGTCCGTCAATTAGACAATGTAAAAATATTAGGCACATATTTTGTCGTGTAAGAAAACAAAACTTAGATAGAGTATATGTATGTAGATTTTTTTAAGGGGGGAAACTCATCGAATGACTGCTCCCGCCTGGGTGAGGCGGGAGGGAGTGTCAGACTCTTACTGACTAAAAACCACCCCGTTCCTTCTCCTGCACGTCGAGCCGGAGCCCCGGTTACCCGTTAGGTTCTCCGCGACATATGTATGTAGTTTAGGAATAGGAGGTCGTTCCGGCACGCTACCCTATAAAATGTAGTAAACCGTGACGTCACACCATATTTCAAATCAATACATCGTTTAAAGTATTAAATTGGGTACTTCCCTTAATAAAAAATATATTATTTCGACTGTTCAATACATTAGATTTTTAGACCAACTGAATTTTAATATTTTTTTAAGAAATAAGTATGCTGTTGGCCGCTTAAAAAAGCATTACTAAAATTCATATAAAACTGTCTTTTTTGACAGTTCGAATAAAAGTACTGAATTTGACTAGTTGGAAAGTACTCAACTTTGTAAGAAAAAAAAATACGTGTCTAATGTTTTAAAATAATCTACCAGACGGACATTAAAATAAAATTTAGAATACTACCCTAATAGTTAATGTCATCTGTTCTTCCCTTATTTAATACAATAGTTTCTTACGTAGTTTTATAGACCTTAAACATAATGTTGCGTGTTTAGAGGCAAGATTAATAATAAATATTTTAATATAATTCTTAATACAATAGATACTTAACATCACGCGTCTTATTCTCCAAGGGTTAGACAGAGAAGTGTTACGACAAAAATCGAATCTCGACGTTTTCCGGACCTAAGATTCGAACGCAGGACTGACCCCTAGTCAGTGCTTAATGTATCGAATAGTACACATAAATTACAATATTAAGTACGCAAATAAGCTCAAAATATTCAAGTACAACTTTCAGTGTTGCCACTACCCAAAAATCCCGCGTAAAAGTTGCTAGACTAGATAATCAAAAAACAAAAATAAATTGTCTTAATTTTCATTTAAAAAACGGCAAAAAATAGATGAATTTAAAAAGCAAGTAAATCCGGAATGTATACAGCACGCACAGAAGTAAAATAATCTACGAATTTCTAGAACATTCCATAAGATAACAGATCTAAACATTTCGAAATAGAGAAGCTTAGAAAAATAAATAAAAATTAATAGGAATAATTGTTAAAAGCATTCGATTTTAAACTTTAAATTAATGTGCATAACGTGCAACACTACGAATCAGTTTTCATTTTTATAAAATAGATAAATAACAGTGCCATAAACTGACAATGTGTCTTCTCTCACCCAGAACGAATAAGATAATGTACACTTACATTATACAGCATTTTAGGGTTACTCGATTAGTTTCGAGCATAACTGGAGCCCTTAATCCGTAATGAGTCGTTGTCTCAGATAGCATATCTCACGATATTTATTTAACAATCTTAACTTCCACGTACTGTTGCAAGTTATTCAAGTTACAAGCTAAAACCAAAACTAAAACATAATAGAATAAGGTTCAAAATCCTCCAATAACAATATATTGGAGAATTTATAATAATAATACAAAAGCAATACTTTCCCGATTCAACCAACGGCTTCAAATTGACTATTATTTTCTTATATGAAATGATCAAGAATAGAATTAGTTATACCACCCCGTTCCTACTCCTGCACTTCGAGCCGGAGCCCCTGCAACCCGTTAGATCTTCCGCGGCTCCGTATCGGCATCGGCCCTGTTGGGCCCATCCGTGGTGGTCTGATGGCTCTTTGAGGCGCGCGCGGACTCTATATTATACAAGGTGTAGTTTTGAAACCGTGTCATTTCTCGGAGACATGTCACAGAAGTCATAAAGGTTCGATGTAAGAGAAAATTTCGGGCCAATAGTTAAAAATACGGCTATAATAAATCGTTTAAGTTCGACAATATTTCAGAATAAGCGACTGCAATGTTTCTTATTGGAGTTTTATGGAATTAGGAATAATATAAATTACGTGTTTGAGTTTGTGTGTGTTAATCCGCGTTATAAAGCTAGTTACAAGACGGCGGCGTGTACTTCGCACTTACGGATTTCCGTAATTTCAGAAAAATGAAAAATATTTTCCTATATTTTTTTTTATTGATTGGGACTCAAAATCGATAGCCGAGTTACCTCCTAGAAAATGACGCGGCTTTAAAACGACACCTTGTATATTAAATACCTAAAAGAGGTTTTGTATTACATTGAACACCTATTTGTGTCCATTATCTTAACCTTTAGGACTATCTTGTTGAAGTCGATCCCTCACAAATCTAAATTCACTGTTATTTCCCCAAAAGGGGTAAATGTCCTTTCTCACCCATTCCATTATAGACCTTATGTCCGTTGTTTAGAGACTACTTTTGTATGACAAATTTAAATTCACTGTTATTTCCCAAAAGGAGTAAATGTCCTCTCTCACCCATTCCATTATAGGCCTTATGTCCGTTGTTTAGAGACTACTTTTGTATGACAAATTTAAATTCACTGTTATTTCCCAAGAGGGGTAAATGTCCTCTCTCACCCATTCCATTATAGACCTTATTTCCGGTGTTTAGGGACTACTTTCGTATGAAAAAGTTTGGTTATCAAATATGACTATGTATAAAATAAGACTACTCTTGACCATTTCATATCTCACTGACCCTTACAAATAACTCATTATTCTTGCATCTCGTCTAGATTGTAATTTAAATCTTATATCTAATAGTTTACAGTCCCTTATTGAAGTACACGTATTCCGGCGGCTTTCCGTCCGTGTTCTTAAGTATTTGTTCGTAGTTGTCCTTTTCGAATCGTTTGATTGTGTCTATTGAGAGTTTGCTGTGGATAAGATAAATTATTATTAATTTTCAAGATGTATTAAATAATACATAGCTCCGAAAATTATTACTAAAACTATTTGTAACGGCTAAGCCGTATGCAATACGGCTTTAGCCGTTGTTTTACAGAATACCTCTGGTTTGTTTAAAATTATTTTTAAACTACATTAAATATTTTAGATATAAAAACGTGCACTTACCATCTCTGTGGGAAGATTGCACACGCTGTCGGCACCATGAATGTTAGGCTGAAAATGTGAAAAAAATGGTATAATTTACATATTTTATAGTGTTTTTATAAACAAAAATCCTGAATACACAAGGGGAATTCCTTGCATCGGGTAGCCCTCAAAATATTGCACGATTTTTTTAAATAATAGAGACATATGTCGTAATACCGAAACGTTACTCAATTTTAAGTCGCGCTTAAGTATAGTTCTGTCTCCACGAATTCTTTGTGAAATGACAGAGATAGCACGATATTTAAGCACGACTTAAAATTGAGTAACGTTTCAGTATTCCGGCGTTAAACTTCATTAGCCATTAGTATAAAATGTCAAAAACGATTCACTTATTTTAAGTTTTGTATATGAACATTCAATTGTTACGTCAGAATTGTTTGTAAAAAACTAATATTTTGTACGAGGAACTATGAAAAAGTCGGTCATTTTATTCAATGAATCAGATTAATCAGAATTAGATAATTCGTGTGTAAAAAACTCCCGATTTAGTGTACGAATGTTAGACAATACATAATATCAGCAGATAACAATGTATTTATTTTTATGTTTTTGGCTTACTCACGCAACTCTTTGACGAGGAACTCGACTAGTTTAAAGCCATGCTAGCCATGCTCAGTAGCAGCGACAGTCATCGCGTCGCGTATCGCGGAATACTGCTCGTGAATATGAGTCCCTAGCATCGCTTGAAACTAGTCGAGTTCCTCGTCAAACAGTTACGTGTTAAGCCGAAAATATAAGAATTAATTTAGTATGTCTCAAGAAAGTTTTAACTCCTTGACCGCCGCGGTCGACTATAGCTGACAAACTAAACGTACTTAAAAATCATATTTTCTTGTCGACTGTGGCCAACTGTGACGGATCACGTCATTTTTTGTTTGTCTGTGGCGTTCTAAAGGTTAATATAAAGATAACAATACAATTGGGATGATGACAGGGTATGAATATTAAAAATCTAATTAGTCCGTAAGTTAGGTAATGAAAAAATATTAGACACGTATTTTTTTATTTTGTCGTATAGTAAAACAATACTTAGATAAAATGAATCAAAGTTTAGAAGTGGGGGCTAAAACGTCATTTCTACGTATAAAATGTACATAGAAGTGACGTCACGCGACATTTCAAATCAATATATCGTCGAAAGTAACTGTTTCTGTAAGAAAATAAAAAATACGTGTCTAATGATTTAAAATAATCTACCAGACGGACATTACAATAAAAATTAGGCATCTATACCCTATTGCAATACTCACAACATGCCGACGATGGCAGTCTGTATGCCGATATGCGCCCAGCGGATGCGCTGCATCCAAGGCTTGGGCTCCAGGCGCTCCATTATCACCGGCAGCAGTAACATGCCCGGGGCACACATCACGATCCTGAACAATACATTGTAAGCTTTATTTTTTTATACAGCAAGGTTGGTTTTGGAAATTACCCATTTTGATAATAATTCATGTACCTAATTAGGCTTTACTTTATAAGAAATAAGGTCGGTTTTGGAAGTAATGTGGACAGTAAGCAGAGTATATTTATTTAAACAATTGATAGTGAACTTCACAACGTAGCTATAGGGTCGATTTTGTATTTTTATTTGCTTGTTACTAACGAAGTAAGCAATGTATATTATAATCAATTCATTTTGAAGTTTAATCCTTAGAAATAAGGTTGGTTCTAGAATTTATTTTAACACAAACTTTATTCATTAATTCAATCATTTATCTATCCATTCATTCAATCATTAATTGATTCATTCCTTTGTTCATACATTCAGGCAACATTTTTGGAAACTAATAACCAACCCATTTAGGAATCACACCTACAATATCAATAACAATTGACGGCATGGTTGGCGCGGTGGCTGGGCAACTGGCTGCCGCGCAACGTGTCGCGGGTTCGATTCCCGGAACAACTCTTTGTGTGATCCACATATTGTTGTCCCGGGTATGGGTGTCATGTGTATGTGAACTTGTATATTTGTAAACGCACCCACGACACAGGAGAAAATCCTATTATGGGGCAACATTTATTAAAAAAAAAACAATTCTTATACTGATTAGTTCACAGTAGTCTAGGATCTTCATAATACAATAAGCTATATAAAAATAATGAATATATAAATATGTTTTAGTACTGTTCTCACCTTGAAGTGACGACTTGAGAGATTCCTTTCACGGGCGCTAATTGAGACTTGCCGATCACTTTACCATTCTCATCAGTTACATCCAAGCCTGAAAATAAAATTTTGAAAATCAATATAAATAAATCAGACATATTTTGATGAAAGATTTTTATAGTGTATAGATGTGTTTTTATTTTTAAAAATTGATGACTGTTGATGAAACGAAAGAGGCATGTATGAACGCCAATTACTACGATATACTTATGTTATGTATGTATGTATATGTATGTATTTTATAGTGTTTATTGACATTGCAATTTTAGACACAAAGTCATATCAAACCAAAATGGAAACGCCCTCTATGCACGAGTCTAAAAAAATTAACAATTCAAAAATAAACGACTAAGTTTTTCATTCAGCAAACACCGAAGAATGTGTAAACAATAATACGTCATGAGCACGTGAAAATACGATTTATTTTTGAATAATCAACAACATTGTACGCATAAATATAAGTCCACGAGTCGCATTTTATTTATATCTTGAACACATCTGTATGCAAGTCCGTTGATTAAAATAATTAATGTTTAATTGAACTGATGTACTTGTCTTACGAAATTGAACCTTATTACCTGTGTAAGAAGTCTTAAACATTTTTTTTATTGAAATGAGCTGGGTGTTGTTTCCTAATTATTAATTTGAACTCTATTACCTACATAATATGAAGTTTTGTTTTTTATTGAAGCACTATGTACTGTAGTGATTTGATTTTCGATAATTAACCATATTGTCTACTCTTAAAGTCGTAGTTTTCATTGTAAGTAATAAAACTATTATTATCTTTCCAATAACAAGTTGATAAAAGAAATATAAGTTTTTTTTTTATGGGTCGGTAAAAGAGCCCGAAACACCAGAGGCGTTACAAGTGCGTTACCGGCCCTTTGGGGATTAGGAATTTGAGGGTTGTTGGGTATTCAGGGATTGGGGAGATTTGGGGAGGGTGGCTAATTGGGCCTCCGGTAACCTCACTCACACGACGAAACACAACGCAAGCGTTGTTTCACGTCGGTTTTTTGTGAGGCCGTGGTATCATTTCGATCGAGCCGGCCCATTTGTTCCAAGCATGGGACTCCCACACTTAGAAATGTAGTTATTTATTGTCTTTTGAATTATTCTATGATACGATTTTCTCTTGTTTGATTGAAGGGATTATTTTTCATTCATTGCTGTTATTATTTCAGCTTTAAAGTCATTAATAAATTAATACTCACGTAGGTATATCAATAACAGTACCTACATTAATAAAGTGGTCTGTCAGTCAATGTGAGTGACTGTAAGATAACACAGACGAAACTATTAATTTTATACCAAGGGAACATAACGATTTGGCAAAATCCCTATGGTTACCAGATAACACCGGATTTCTATTTATGTAATGGAATCTGCCGGGCAATGGGTCTCAGTTGAGCAAAGTATTGCTGGGGTTTTAAAAAAAATCTCAGTAGTGGCACGGAGTCTGGAATTGTGCCCGGTATATGGCAAGAGGCTCACCTCCTATCACATGGGACTCATAACATAAATAGTGAAAAGTGGGTGTGGCATTAAGTGCCGTTGACCTCTGCCTTCGGGGATAAAAGGCATGATGATATTTCTCATGAGATACTTGGATTTCAACTAGAGCTCGTCGTAATCAGAAATCTACTTCAATAGTATAAAAAGATTAAATGAATAAACCAATACACACCTAAGAGGATCTCGTTCTGTCTCATTAATGGGATGTTCACCCAGTTGGCGGCCGCCACAGCTACGAAAGGCACGAAGCGCTGGAAAATATAAACAGCGGAAATTATTGATCGACTTTTGACTAACAATGAACGTGGACTTGGGTACATACCTAAGTCCACCTAAAATTGCGACTAGCAACTTACATCTTAATAAAGTAAAATCGCGGGTTACTCACGTGAATATGAGATGAAATCACGTGAAATGAGACATACTAAATTAAGTGAAATCGCGGGTTACTCACGTGAATATACTGAGAAAAGCTCTACTAGTTTCTAACCACAGAGGGGTTCTTCCTCATGAGCAGGTCGCGGCGACGTCACGCAGCTCACTTAATTTAGTATGTCTCACGATAGTTATTATAAAACTTACATCTTTGAAAGAAGAAAGAAGGATACGAGCAGACAGATCACCTGTTGGTAAACAATCGGCGTCGCCAATCGGCATGGACACCCGAAACACCAGAGGCATTACAAGTGCGTTATCAGCCTTTTGGGGATTACGAATTTGAGGAGTGTTGAGGATTAAGGAGATCTCTAGGATGTAATTGGGGTAAAAGAGGTAATTGCCGTGGTATCACTTCGGTGGAAATGGCCCATCCGTACCGTCTTTTAATCTTATTGCTTTTTATCTGTAACTTTACAGCGAAAAATGCAATGACATTTTACAAAAATCAATTTATCCAAGGAATAACTATAAGTACCTACTAAATCATTTAAGTATAAACCCCTGATACTGACATATGAATTATATGATAGTATACACTACAATGATAGATCGTGACCTTGAATGCGCCGGTGCAGACGTGCGGTTCATATAAAAGTTATTGACTTGACATTGTTATTTTCTCTTGATAATACATAAAATAATGTATGCGTTGTATGTATGTCTATTCGCTGAGAAATTATGGACGAGCTGTATGGCTTTTGAAGAAGAAAATGGAAGGAAAATGGAGCCACCCGTAGCAACAGACAAGTCATAAGTGCTTTTCTGACCTTTGGAGGCAAGGGGATTGTGCATAAGCCAAGAAAGATGATTCTTCTTCTAAAATTACCAGAGAACTTACCACGAGTTTGTTTTACGAGACCGCGATCAAAGCGCGATCTTACGGTACTATAAACGTAATAAAACTTGTACTAAGCCCAGATTCGATGTACCGATTGTACAATGTACTATAATACAGTAAAATATTCCAGTTGGTAATGAGGACAAAGTGTCTGCTTGATATTTTGTCAGACTACTTTACATTATCTGTGTTTATTTGTTTGGATTAGTTGGTTCATTAGAGCTGGCCAATGAAAGCGCTGAACGCGGTCTTACGGTACTATAAATAAACGTAAAAAATCTTTTACTAAGACCTCTGATTGGTTGGTTCATTTTAACCGGCCAATCAGAGCGCCGAACGCAGTCTTACAGTACTATAAACGTAAAACCAAACTTGTACTAAGGCCTCTGATTGGTTGGTTCATTAGACCTGGCCAATTACAGCGCTGAACGCGGTCTTACGGTACTATAAACGTAAAACAAAACTTGTACTAAACCCTCTGATTGGTTGGTTCAATGGAGCTGGCCAATGAAAGCGCTGAACGCGGACTTACTGTACTATATATAAACGTAAAAAAAGTTGTACTAAGACCTCTGATTGGTTAGTTCATTGGAGCCAGCCAATGAAAGTGCCGAACGCGGTCTTGCGGTACTATAAATAAACGTAAAACAAACTTGTACTAAGCCTCTGATTAGTTGGTTTATTGGAACCGGCCAATCAGAGCGCCGAACGCGGTCTCGATTCGATTAAGTACTTTAAACGTAAAAAAACTAATACTTAGCTATCAGATGATACACGTTTCTTACAACAACAACAAAGTACAATATAGTGACCATACAAAAAATATAAGCGTAACATTATACAGTGATAATCTCGCTGATAAAGTTATATACACGGTGATAAGAATGTAATGTTAAATGTATTAATGTCTTATCAATAGCAATAACGTCTTCTAAGCCGCTATAAAGATTATTATCAAACAACAGTTATCATGACACGGTTTTAAATAAGGGTATTACGAAATATTAAATGATTGCGTAGTTAAGGGCATGAGTGTATCATACTGTACATACAGAATTACAAGCTATGTAGGACATAAAGTGATGTTTAAATACTTTATACGTGATGTAAAAATATATAAATAAAATATTTTTTTAAGGGGGGAAAATCATCGAATTCTCCCGCCTGGATGAGGCGGAAGGGAGTGCAGACTCTTACTGACTAAAAGCCACCCCGTTCCTACTCCTGCACTTTGAGCTGGAGCCCCTGCAACCCGTTAAGTCCTCCGCGGCTCTGTATCGGCATCAGCTCTATTGGGCCCCATCCGTGGTGGTCTGATGGCTCTTTGATGCGCGCGCAGAACGCGACACGCCGTACGCTCAGGTATTGTAATACAACTTCGGTGCAAGGAAACGGGGCATCTAGCGACTTCTTTCGCTTTGGGTGATGCGAGAGGAGTGTCAGACTCTTACTAAAAACTACCCCATCCTACTCCTGATTCGACCTGGCGCCCTGGTAACCCGCAAGGCCGTCCGCCACCCCACCTATAATTATTATTCGGATCCATATCTTATACTATTACTGAAAATAAAATAAACCTACCAAAAACAAAATAACAAGAGCGTATTCCTTTTTAAAAGGCCGGCAATGCATCTGTTGCTCCTCTGATGTTACGGGTGTCCATGAGCGGCTTACCATCAGGTGATCCGTCTGCTCATTTGCCCCCTATTCCATATTAAAAAAAAAAACATTTTGAAAATTAACTTACAGCCAAAATAGGATTCTTGGCGCGTTTCTGGACGCTGAACTTGAAGATCAGCGCGGTTGTCATTGCGGCTGACGTGGCGGACAGGTACGCCACTCCCATCTGTGTAGTCGTGAGGGGGGAGTTCGCATTCCGGTTGGTGTAATTCACTAAAGCATTGAACGACTGGTTCACCCACTGCCAGAAGACTACTGCTACTGGTGTTCTGTGGGTAAAATTGATGTTTAATCTTATATACTACATATACTTGTATTGTTATATAAAGCTAAAGAATGTTTGTATGTTTGTTTGTTTGAACGCGCTAATCTCCGAAACTGATGGTCCGTATTGAATAATTCTTTTTGTGTTCGATAGTCAATTTATTGAGGAAAACTATAAGTTATAAAACATCACGCTACGATGAATAGGAGCCAAGCAGAGCGGGTACAACCGCGCAGGAGTGGCTAGTATAACATATATTGATTTACTTTTTGAAGCATATCCTGTCGGCCAACAAATTTTTAGGTACGCACGCTTTTTAGCACCGCACATGTAATAAAGGATGAGCCTATTGCCATACAAACAATACACTGCACATAATTTCAGACTCTAATACTTATAGTCGTAAGTAACAATTTCGAAAATTCTGATAACTATGCAATGTATAGAACACATACTTTGCCTACTCGAAACCAAGACTCGACACATGCGTTTATGAATGGTCGATGTTTCTATTCATCATTCATTTTTGCAACTCGCGAACAATTCAGAGAATGTAAACATTAAACAAGTAGTGACATCATTTGGTCCTTGAATACAATCTGTGAAGTTTTTAACTTTCAACTCTATACCTAAGATCATATAATTCACATTAACACTTCGCGAACATAACCCGGTTATTAGAATTTTGACCCATATTGGCTAGATGCCACTGAAATAGCATTTTATTCACATTTCACACCAAAGTCCTCTAAATTAATGGTTGTATGTGAATAAACATGTTTTGCATGCAAACTATTATTAGATTTATTGTTTAAACTCATTACATTTGTCTGGTAACTATAATATAACGGGAATTTAGCCTTTAACACAACTGGAATAAGGTGTCATAGATACTTGATATTATAAATATGCTTTCCATTAATTTAGTTTTACATATATGGCAGGTAGCGCATCAAACTACCCATCAAGAATTTAATGCAATTTAAACTCTAATGCAAAAAGTTATACTTCAAAATCGTCTGTACATCACTTAGTTAATATTAATATTCCACTCACCTATACCATTGCAACATGGCTCCAGTAATAAGACAGCCTCCAGGCATCTGGAATGACATCCTGCCGAACACATTCTGCAGCTCACCACTGTCAGGGTGGAACGCTGATTCATATAGCTGCTTCGCTCGAACCAGCTGCTCGTATTTTGTGCCTGCCGGTTCTGTACCTGATCTAGTGGAAAAAAGAATTGGTTTGTAGATTATTTTTATGACAGTGTACCTGGTTTTTGATAATTAAAAAACTTTACACTGACACTAATCCTGAGGTAATCTTTCGGGAACATTTAACAAATAAGTAGCACCTGATTGTATGTGAAAACAAAATCACAGAGAACCGGCGTGAAACAACGTCATTGTACGCATATTTACTTGAATTGTTTGTTTTTTAAGCTACTTAAATGTGTACAATAAAGAATATAAATAAATAAACAACACTTCCATAGTGTTTCATCGTGTGAGTGAGGTTACCAGAGGTCCAATTACCCTCCCTCCTCCCTTCCCTATCTCCTCAATCACCTCAATCCCAACAATCCTCAAATTCCTAATCCCTAAAAGACTGTTTATGCTTGTAACACCTCTGGTGTTCCGGTTGTCCATGAGCGACGCCGATTGCTTACCATCAGGTGATCCGTCTTGTCTTTTAATTACAGAATTATCCCATAAAAAAATAGTTTTAGAATGCACTCTATTCTAAACAAACTTTGCCTCTGTAGATTTTTTGACAGTTCGTTTCTCTAAACAGAACCGCTCTTTAGGCCAAACATTAAGCACTCTCTAACATAATGGTTTGACTGACACCTATGTATAAATTATGGTGGATAAATTCATGTGGGTGTCATTGTGTAATTGAACTTGTATGTTTGTAAACGCACCCACGACACAGGAGAAAATCCTAGTGTAGAGCAACATTTAAAAAACAAAACATCAATGTAACTTACTTGTACTTCAAATACAGATCCTTTGCCTGGTGCAATTCTTCCTCTGAAGCTAGAGACAGCAATGGGTTGGAAATGAAGGCGAAATGCCTGAATCTTCCCATAAAGGTACTCTGGTCCCAAAGAGGTTGGGTGATGTCTATCCTCTCCATATTCATAATCTGGTGGAAGGATAAAATAAGATAAAGTTAATGAATAGGTACTGAGAATATGTAGAAGATTTAAGTATGTAACAATTAAATTATGTAATTGTACTTATTTTATTTTATTAGGGAAACAAACAATATGGTTTAAATACAATGAAAGATAAAAGACAAAAATATAATGTAAGTCTCTGAATATGAACTGTTTTTTTTTTCAATTATTCAATATCAGATCAACCATATTGCTTCTAAAACTCCAATAATTTTATTAACAAGGAAATTGTTTCACATGGCACACACTGGTACAAAGCATATGAAACTCTACTGCAATGCAGTAGGTAATTGATTTAATAAAAAATATATAATGTATAGCTAAATGAAAATGACAGGTATTTATGGACAATCATTACTTTCAATAGACTGCATCATGTTTCATTTGTAGTAGACAGCATTAATAAAAGAAATTAACTATAAGATACAAGGCAATTGAAAAAGATGGTCATAATAATTTGTAGAGTTCTTGATATTAAAACATTATCTAAAAAGTCTGTTTTAAACTTACTGGCACATAATGTTAACTACTTTTTTTTATAATCTTTATGATGTAATTATAGGGTTTTTTAAAAAAAAAAGGAATATATCAGCCCTATGATTGCATACAAACTTAAACCTTAGAACTAACTACCTACAATAAAGTGAATGAACCCTTAAACTTGGACATTAAATAATTAAATGCTGGAGCACTTTTAGCTATTGATACATACAATTATCAATTACTATGGCAGGCATTTCAATAACAATAGTTACACTTCAAGGCAATAACATCTTTTCTCTCATTACTTTGTAATCTTAGATTAATAATTCTGTGTTTGTAATGTTATTTATTATTAACATACAGTCTATACAGACTTGCTAGTCAGCATATGCAAAAAGAATATCGTTTTCCTCATAGGTAAGTTTGGTTGCAATTTTTAGTGTTAAATATTAGCTATTCTCAAATCTGTTACATGAAAAGAAATGTCTAGTGACATTGCATGCTTTTTATTTGAAGTTTCAAGGCCTTTTTCTGTACAAAATTAGTCTCATTAACAGCTGACTTTCGACTGCTATGTAATTAGTTCTTTACACGCATATTTATAAACGTTGAAATGTCTCAATAGTGGTCAGACAACTTGAGCCAACAAGTTATTATATTCAGAGACCTTGAATAAACGGTAGACAAACACATGTACGACAAAAACTGCCGTTTAGCAAATCAATAAACAAAAAGAAGAATAATTTCGAATAGATTATGTAAGTCCGCGTTTAAAAATTAAATTTCTTTTATATGCAGATAAATTGTAAGTTACAATAACCAATATTTTACTTACTTTAGTATGTATTAATTTCCTGAAGAGAGAAAATTAATATTAAGTACAGATTTTTATATAAAAAGATATAAAATACGTGCGCGTTTCGCCAACTCAGTAAAACAACCTGCCGCGATCGTAAATCGGCAAATGGTTGGAAGAATTGTCAAGTGTCAACTGTCATGTTCTTATCATCTGTCTGTCATCCTCAATGTCGAATTATAGTAAACCGTGTGAAACGGAGTGTAATTTTAGTGAACTCTAAAACATCTTGCTTCAAAATCTTATAAATCTAAAATAATAATAAACGCCGAATGCAATTCTGTTGCATTTTCTGACGTTCTCCAGAATATTAATTTAGTGGGAATCTTGGTTACACGTTTACCTCTTTACCTCACCTGGGAATCAAACCAACTGGTACAGCAGATTTAATTTGTTTTGTGTGGGTCCTTGTGGGTATATTACACTCTTTATTTAATTTATGTACAGTTATACTGTATTCTTTAGGTATTTGCCAAAATCATAAAGTTATTTTAGCTATTTATGTTTTATAGGTGGGTCTCATCACAACTGTTCATTTATTGTGGAAATGTAATGTGTTGATTTACCAGCTAGAATTTGTACCAAATTAAAAACTTGTGAAATTATCTACTATGAATATCTACTGTTAGGTAAAATATCAATAAGAAATGTAAAAATAAAAATTAAGAAATCAACATCACATTTTTTTTGTAACCATTTTTAGGCAGTCAGTGGTAAAGTTTCGTATCATTGTTTATGGCTAACAAAATATGGCGGCTGTCGTAGCAACAGCCGATATGACGATTCAAAAGAATTCTCAGATTTTAGTAAATGTAGAAGAAGCTTTAGCTGATTTAATTGTTGTATCGTATTGCACTGAGGATAAAAAGTTTCAAGGCGTACTCCTGGACTCCAACAAAGGGTAGGTAACAAAAACATGACCAAGTGTGCCTTTATCGATTTATGGAAAATCTCCTGAAATTATTTCTAATTTGACCGTATTTTTGCAGTAATTTACCTTATGGTGTCTATAGCCTCAACCCAGCATTCAATAAACAGGTTGAATCCACAAATGAAAGCGATAAGTTACATTCCGTTAGCCAAAGGTTCACCTACCAAGAGCCTCAATATGAGGGCGAGAACTCGCAAAAATCAAAGAAACCAGCTGCGAAAGGTAAACAGCAACAAAAGATGACCGTAAGACTTCGACCTCGGAAGGTCTTGTGTTCAAACTGCCAAGGGATTTGTAATGAGAATAATGAAAATGTAGACGTGTCTAAAAAACGTAAGATAGAATCTGATGACGATACATCACACTTCTCTGACTCATCAAGGACAGAAAAAAAATATTTAATGGGCAGCATGCTTATACCCAAGCTGTCCAGGCTGCAGCCCAGTGAAATCACGAGTGCAGTTAAGGGCTCAGCGAAAAGTTCCAGTAAGGCTAGTGATAAATCAATTAAAAGTAAGAAATCTAACACAGAGACTGTAACACAAGAAATGGCGTTTGTCAGCGTTTCTGAGGATATGGAAGGCGACAAGGATGATGTGAAAGATGAAAATGGCATTTCTTTTAGTTCAATGTTTTCTAGTGCAAAAACTCTAAAAATATGTTTTGGGGAAGGTGAAGGAACAGTAGTTAAGATACCACCACTTGCAGGAGATTTTAATGAAGATTCAGGTGTGTCATGTGATATGGGAAAGCCAACAAAACCTGACTCAAAAGCAGCTAAAAAGGCATTAAAGAAAGCAAAAAAACAGGCAAAAAAGAGCACCTCTGTAGAAAAAAGTCAAACTATGCAATCCCCAAAACATATTGGCGCATTATCGCCACATAACAATGTATCAAGTCCAACACTAGACCCTTTAGAAAAGAAACACAAGCATAAGGTAAAGCATAAAAAGAAGTATAAGAATCAGAAGAAACGTGATGAAAACACAAGCAAATGTGGAGAGAGTGAATCAGTGGACTATTTTAGTGATATTAAAGAGCATTGTATGAACCAGAAGCTCTGCATAAGCTTACGAAGACTAAGTAGTAATTCTCATGAAAAGCAGAGTGAAAATGATCCTATAGAAAGTGGTTCAGAAGACTGGGACAGTGAGGTTGTGCCAGATTTCCCTGCAAATGGTACGGAGGGTGTTGGTGGAAGGGTGTTACGGGTTTCGGTTGGAGATGTAGTATGGGGAAAGGTGGTAGGGTTTCCATGGTGGCCAGGCAAGGTTCTCAATGTGACACCATCATCCAGAGCACATGTAGCATGGTACGCTTCAACCACCTCATCTCTCATGCCATGTGATAGCTTGAGTCCATTTTTAGAAGATTTTAAGGTGAGTTCTTTTCATAGGTGTTTTATTTGGTTGTATCTTCCATGATTTGTTTTAATTGAATAACCATTCATACAGTAATGAAATGCATGCTCTTTATGAGTCATTCCGAGATTAATGTCATTGGCAGAATATCAAATGTATTTCTAACAAAGTGTATTCAGAGCTTACTATCATCTTTATATTTGAAATTTTACTGTCTTCCTTTCGTAAAACTAAATATTTATGTTTAAATATTCGATTCCAATAATAAAATTAAGAAGGGAGTAAATTAAAATCTGATGTATAAAAATGTTTGAGATTAGTTAATAGAAAATGAATTAAGATATTTGTTTTCAATGTAAATAGTTCGCCTTTTATCTCACTTAACTGATAAATATTATTATCAGAAAAATAATATATTTTTTCCATAACATGACATCATCTCTTGTTTCTCAGTAAAGAAGGCAGAGAAATTTAGTCACAATTTCTGTAAAATTATGCCAGGTGTAGTCCTAAAAAATCATTGTTTAACAACTTAATCTATCTGTGGGTTTGTGTCGGTAGTTCTTCTCAGCATAACCAATTAGGAAATGTCGACCCCCATCTAGTAATATTTAAAAATTGCTGTGTAAAACTCTTAACAACATTTTTAATATTTTGTCTAATTAATAAACTTCCTATTTAACAATCAATTACCAATCATTATTATGAAAAATTATCACATCTAGATACATTTATGTTATAAAGAGAAAAACGGAAACTCTTTTAATTTCCACTGCCTGCCTCGTTGGCCGAGTGGTCGTAAGTGCAACTGCCGGGCAAGGGGTATTCTCAGTAGTAGCACGGAGTCTGGAATTGTGCCCGGTATATGGCAATAGGCTCACCCCCTATTACATGGGACTCATAACATAAATAGTGAAAAGTGGGTGTTACATTGTACAGTGGTATAATGTGCACCTCTGCCTACCCCTTCGGGGATAAAAGGCGTGACGTTATGTTATGTGTGTCTAATATAGCATTAAAAAAAAACAAAATATTTACAAAAGGTTTTAATAATAAAATAATTAGTATACCTAATTGTTTTGCCAACAGGTTTTTCCTTATAATGTGTTATGTTTACTAATGCTACCAAATAGTGTTTACCTATTTATGATATACCCAGTACCAGGCATTTCTGGAAAATACAAGAAATTGACAATGTTATGAAGATATAAGAATAACATTTTGATGGATTACTTATAATATGCTACTACTAAGGTGGCAATAATCTATTACAGGAGACATAAATGATAAAATATTCATTGTTCATTAAGTGAAGGGCAGTACGCAATGTAATTTTATCTGTATACTGTGAATTTATTAGGGTCAATTTATTAAAATCGCGCATGAAGAGAGAGTTTGAATTTATTCTGAAATCATTAGGTTTTTGCTTAAATGCGCTGTGATAGCATAGCAACATAGCTTAATTTCTATTGTTTCCGCATTCCAGTTACGATTTTTGAAGAAAAAGCGGGGACCATACAAAGAGGCTGTAATACAAGCAACACTTGAAGCTAAGAGGAATGAATCTCATGTAACCGATCCACTGGCGAGCCCAACACACACATTGGCAACAGTATCACCTCGACCCATCGATGTGTTCTCTTAGACTAAGGTGCATCCGAATTTATTCAAAGTCATGTGATATTTAATACATAATTACTTGATTTATGTGCACAAATAGTGTTTCTTAATGTGATTTAGTTATTGCACTGGAAATAAAGATTAATATAATATTTACAGTTTATTTCAAGTTGTACCAGTTTTCTGTTTTCTACATTCTACAGAACGTTTTATTATTACTTATTCTACCAAACATTTTAATTCATCATTTCCGGCATAAGTTATTTGTCATTGATATTTAAACAGTCTTTATTTAATTTAAATTCCAGTGTAACAACTATTAATATAAAAATCATGTTAGTAATCAGGATAATGCCATTTTGCAACTAATATTCCACTTATGATGTGAACTGCCACTTAGAATGACCTAAGTATGTTAAGTTAGGAGCTAGCAGTCTTGTACCAACATTACTCGATGGACTGCATAATACACATTCTGTAGTTAGCTTTCTAATTAGAGGTAAATTCATTAATAATATAAATAATTTCCTGTTAAGTATATCCAAATGTTCAATGTTCTTATGTATTAACAGTATAGACATTTTTTTTTTATTTTGAGAACTTAACAAATGTGTAATTGTTTATGATACTTGGAATCTCTAAAATTGAGATTCATGTAAGATGCTTCAACGAAAGAAAGGTAACTGTATTCCAATGGTTAAAAATATTGTATACTCATATATATTTTTATGATAATCTCACGTGATTTATGCTTATTAAGGGATATTATGATAAATAAATATTAGGCGGTGGTCTGTTCAGAAATAAGATTTTAGGAATGTCTGTTCAATAATAGGTTGTGCACAACACCTTTATTTAAGTAGATACATGTACATATATGGAAGTGACAATTTTTGCTGGGAAACTGTAGTAAATGGAAACGGAAAAAGACCTGCAGGAAAACCAATTTAGTGGTTGATTGATTACATATTAACTTTTCACATTTTATATAATCACTGAGTGTTCAATAACTAAATAGACCAAATGATATACAATTCATAAAAATTAGAATAGTGTAATATATTCAATCAATAATTATAATGGTGACAGTTATCGTTAATTGAATTTGTTCCTTGAATAATGTATGGGTACCTTACTCGAGCTGTTTATAAACAGCAATGGCTAATAACATACATACAAAAATCAGTGCCATTAAATATTTCAGTATATTGAGCAAGATTCGTATGAGATAAACGAAGTAATAGTTTGTTCGTTACTTTTATTCAACCACAGACTTGTATTAAAAAATTTGCTTTTTGTTGTTTCTTCTCAATATTCAGTACTTACAACAGTTTAAAATATTGATCTAATACTTGTAATAATCTGTGTATTATACAAACTTATGGCCATTCCTTTATTGTCTGGTCTCTTGGTTTTGAATTTTATTATTATGTTCCATATAATATCTACATTTTTATATTTTACTTAAAAAACTATATGTTTTGTAAATATCCAGTTTTATATTTCGATTTTAAAACCAAGAGAAAGATTATGTTATTTACTTTTCTAAGTAATTTAGTTCAGTTTAAAAGATTTATGTGTATTATAGTTTTGACGATTGGTTGCTAAATAATTATAATACTATTAATTTTACAAAAATAACTTTAATTAAAAGAGATTGTGATTTAGGTTCTATGTTTTCTTTTATATGTGATAAAAGCTACTAAAATTGTTTGTTTTAAAATGTCAGGGGGCTTGCGTAGAGGTAGGTTGCTGGTTAATCATGGGTAGGTCGCTACCAATTGTTACTTGAGTAGGTACAAAACGGCCTGTTTCTTCATATGTAAGCACATAAGATAACAGTGTGTACCTGGGCCTGTACCAGAAATGTGGTTTACTATGCAAGAACCATTTTTAATAAGCTAACATAATGCTACGGCATTAAAAATACAACATAAAAGTATATTGGTGTTCAGGCTATTTTAAAATTATGTACATATGTTAATTTTTTTATGGTATCTTCAAGCTTTTTCAGGGCGAGGTAGTCAGAAACACTTGCAAAGGAAAGGAATTCTGCCAAAGATTATTGATCTTTGCCCAACTTGTGGTGAATTAAGCTATTTGTTCATTATTATTATATTATTATTGTGTACATAAATATTCAGAATAAATCCGTATTATATTAGTGTAGTTCGCTACAGTGTATCATCTTATCATTACAGGAAATGTATTTTTAAAATATAAACTCTTCACAAATTATGTTTTATATTTTACGTCATACATTCCCTCTATTTTAAGTTAAAAGGAACAGCACGACTGCACGGTTAGTGCGGTGGCTGGGCAACCGGCTGCCGTGCAACGTGTTGCGGGTTCGATTTCCGCACGGATCAACACTGTGTGATCAACAAATTGTTGGTTCAGGTCTGGGTGTCATTGTGTATGTGAACATATGTTTGTAAACGCACCCACGACAGGAGAAAATCCTAATGTGGGGCAACGTTTAAAAAAAGATAAAAGAACTGAATTGAATCTGCTTGTCTGTCTTGACGCCTGTGGGGTTCGATTCCAGAGTCGTGCAAAATATTACGTATTTTCAAAAATTTGGAGAATAAATTCAGTCTGTAATTTTGCTGCCTCGTTGGCCGAGTGGTCGCAAGTGCGACTACCGGGCAAGGGGTCTCAGGTTCGATTCCCGGGTCGGGCAAAGTATTACGGGGTTTTTAAAAAAAACTCAGAGCACGGAGTCTGGAATTGTGCCCGGTATATGGCAATAGGCTCACCCCCTTTGACATGGGACTCATAACATAAATAGTGAAATGCGGGTGTTACTTCTGTGTGCACCTCTGGCTACCCCTTCGGGGTTAAAAAGGCGTGTTGTTATGTTATGTTAATTTTGCTCGGAATACCATACCATACAAATTCTACCATAAATACAATTAAATTTACCGAATGATTTGGAGAATCAAGCAGAACCTATAGATGTCCAATCCATGGTCATAGTGGTCATGCATTACCATTAAATATCTTTTACATCTATGGAAATCTCCAATTAATTATGTCGTTAATATTATAATTATAATGATAGAAAATCACCATATAAGCATAAAAAGACAAGGAAAGTATTGAATTAATTTTCGCTATAATTTTTTTTAAGCAAATTGTACTGCAAACAGTTTTCGTATATGGGTTTTGCTGTCTGTTCTTCAAGTTTCTAACCATAGACAACTGGGCACTAAAATATATAACTGTCAATTTTTGAAGTTGAAGTTGTCATCTAGCTTTGTTTTTCAGTTTGTCGATTCAAAAGTTTGAATATTATTTTATTTTGATTTCGCTAAACACGGGTTTCATGTTATTTATTAAGTAGTGAATTAATGTTTAGTAAATATGAGGCGAACTTATAGGTCTAAGAAAGACACTGGTAGTGTTATAGACCGAAGAGATTTGTTGCAGAATTTGGACGAGAAGAGCTCGGCATATGATGCCTTTTTCATTCAAAATATTAAACAAACTAAGCGGGAACTTTCTTGTATAGGGTCTTCCAATGCTTACGGAGTGGCTTCTAACCGTGTTCGTAAGAAGAAATATGTGAAAAGGATAGTAAAAGAACCGGGAACTCCATGTCGAGAAAGTTTGTCCCGGTCGACGTATTTGACGCCTGATAAATCTATACGTGTGAACAAACCTCTAGATCCCTTCGATATGCTGTTGAATTCGTCACCAGCATGTCCAGTTGAAGCTCCTAAAAATAAGCCTGAGTCCGTGACCAGCAAAGTAGATGTCTTTGATCAAATTGTGCGAAAAAAGTAAGTTTCTTTCTTATAAAAGTGTAACTAGGTACATAGTATGTAGATTTTTTAGTCTTTTATTCTGAGATGAACTTGGCTGTATTATTTTAATTGCTTTATACTTGATAATTTGTATGGTTCTTTCAGGGAAGGTAAAACTTATACTAGGAAAAGAACAGTAAAACCTAAAAAGGTTAATTATTCTAGTTCTGAAGAGAGTGGTAAGTTTATTTTAAGTATTAAAGTAAACAAGATTTCTTAGTTTATGATTTAATTTTGTTTAAAGAATTTACATTATATTTTTATACTTGCCTTGCCTGTGGCTTTACTACTTTTATTTTTACTTTATTTTTACTTTTATTTTATTTTTAGCCTACATGCTATTCCAGTCCATTTGCTACCCCTGTTCCAAATTGCATCAAACTCCTTGGCCGGTTTGATGTGATTGAGTATCAAACACAGACTCTCAAACTTTCGTTTTATAATATTATTAAGATTTGAAATTAAATTCTAGTCTATATTTCAGATTCTGACAAAGAAAACTCTGACGAAAGAATAAATCTGACAAGAAACAGTTCAGATATAAAAGCTTACCAACTTGTAATAGAGGAAGAAGCACACCCCACACCCAAAAAGTGCAATGATTCCATCAATAATATAGTTAATAACTTATCCCTACTAAATAAGTTAAAGAATAAGAATAGCTTTAATGAATCTATGAAGAAACCTCTAAATTATTATAAGCATCGACTGACTAGAAATATTCAATCTCCTATATTGCAAAAATCACCATTATGTAGCACACCTTTCAAAATGAAATACAGAGGTGACTCCATCTTTAAATTCTCACCTATATCACTATCTAATGATGACAATAGTCCAAAATATACAACTATAACCGAGGACAATGATAATGCAAACAATAGTGTAATACTAATGTCTCATAGTAAAACTAAAAGTTTTAGAAGTCCTATAGAAAATAAAAATGTAACTAAAGAAGACTTAGTTCCTGATAATAGTGTAAATAATGATATAGACAATGGAATAGTTGCTCCAGTAATTGAAACTAGTATAAATGAAATGACTGAAGATGTGTCTGAGAAGAATAATTCTATACATAAAGAGGAAACTTCTGAATTATTTAGTGAAAGCAAAGCAGTATCCAGTATTGAGATTAGTTCTTTACAAACTACTGAAGTTGAACCATTTTTAGGCTTCCCCACTGACCCTAATGTCGGCAAAAATATAATCCCAGATTTAGATGAAACAGAACATGATAATGATATTACTGAAATTGAGAACAAAGATCAAAGTGATATAGAAGAAGTTATAAATGAAATTGATGCTGTTGATAATGAAATGAAAGTAAATGAAAGCAATGCTGCTGAAATTGATGTTGATAATGAGTCACATGACTTGAAAAATGCTGATAGAGATTCTTTGTACGACACTTGTACAAGTGATCAAAGTTCTATTGAAGAAAATTTTGTCAGAGAGCCTATTGTAAGGCTTCAAAGGATGAATGACTCTTCATTCTTTAGGTATTATGAAAATATGAATAATTTTGACTCTGTAGATGACAATACTAAAGAGAGCCTGAGAGAGGAAACTGATGAAGAAGAACCTATAATTGATAATGTTCTAAATGAAGACAATAATACAAGTCAAGATGAGGTACTTTCTCAAGAAGACGAATTTGAAAGTTTCGCAGATAGTAATACCTCACAGGACCATATATCTGAAAGTGGTTCTGCTACTGACGGCAATGTAGATAATGATGTGTTCCAAAATGAGGCTGAGGACTATATTGATATTATTTCCTCGAATGATGATGAAGGTGAAGCAAATGAACAAGAGAAGTGCATTAGTTTTGTAACAACAAGAAGAAGGAATGGAATTACGAATGATTCAATGTTGTCTATCTTTAATGATTCCTATGCTTCCACTAGTACTGATTGTGATAAGACTGTTCTTAGTAATAATAGAGTTACAATAAACGAAATTAAAGAAGAGAATAATACAGTTTCTTTAACATCTTCAAATGAAAAAGGCAAAAATGATATTGGCGAAGTAAGAAAAGATCTTGAAGATCATGATGAAACACAATCAGGAAAAGATTTGCCATTAAAAAAAGAGGAGGACAACAGAATATCATTTGTCACTACAAGAAGGAGTACTGTTGCTGATAGAAAGAGTGCCATAAGAAATAGAAAGAGTTCTATCAAACCTAAAAGACAGACTATAGCAGACAGAAAGATTACTCATTTCCCTAGCGAAAGTTTAAGACACAGTCCAGATAGTTCCAGGAGAACATGTTTCGAGAAACCAGGCATAGTTCTTCAGCCTGGTAAAAAATGGGAAAGGTCTCTGAGCATTTACAGAAGAATTACTATGAAGACTGATCATTTTGACCAATCTATTCTTGAAGATGAACCAACTGAGAAAAAGGGCAGAAAATATCGCCAAAGTGTGATCAGTACAATGGAGATGCAAGATATGAACTGTAAGTATTTTTTTACTTTTAGTCTAACATAAAACTTCCTTGGATGATACCTATTTTTATAGACGTAAAGAAGGTGACAACCTCTGTAGTCTTCAAATAATAATGGCATTTATTAAACAAAAACATAAATTAAAAAATGGAAAATAATTGACACTTCCATCCAAAGTTTCAGTGTAATGTCAGGTTTGTGTTTTTTTCGGTGAAGAAAATAATTAAAAGCAGTTTATTTATACCTGTAATTAAACACCTTTATTTCTTACAGGTTCCCTACATAATGAATCAATCAATAGTCGCAGAAGTACATTTGTTTCTAAACCAAGTCGATCTACAATTCGAATTGTGAAAGTAAGTATAGTTTGTCAATACTAAAAAATTTACTTTTAAATCAGACACTTCAACTGAATAACGTGGTCTTTTTATTTCAGGACACAGATAATTCAAGACTTAGTCTTTGCAACACCACAGTATTCGATGACTTGAAAGGTAAATAATTTAATGAATTGGATAGAAACCTGTTTCAGCCTAACTACTGCATAGTAAAATACCGCGTGAAAGTATTGTAAAACAAATGAATACTCGATTTATTTCATTATCTTACTATTTTTCAATCTGTACTCTAAAATGACAACATTAACAATAGTAGCTTTTGTATTATTGATATGGCAACACGAAATTGCTCAAGTTGTTGAAAAATTGTAGTATCTGTGGTTGAGTCGTTCTGTTTGTACGCTTCGTGGAAGAAGACGCTCCGTAGTCTTTGTCCATAATAATTTTTATTTTATTTTTATTTGTAATTGCGTGTTTAAAATTTCATAAGTGAATATATTTTTAGTACTATTGCAAAGCAATAGTAGAATAAACATTTTAAAAGTGACAATTTGTGTTTGAACGCTATAAACGAAATAGTATCTGCCATTGCGTATCCGTAACGGGATAACAGCTTGGTTCTACGCCCTTTGTTCTATTAAAGTGTAAAATCAGCCAAGTGCATGCATCTTTCCCTGCAATACACAGGTTAGTTCTTGAATCGTGGTGTTTTGCTGTTAAATTTTACCCTCAGTGTGATTTTGTTGCGTCAACGAGTCGATTACGCACGGGGGGAAAGTACGTTGAGGTACTTCCTACTTTGTGTCATGTACCGTGATTTTGTGAATGACGCGAGCTCTTTTCCAGGTTTTTTGAACGAGGAGTGTGATGATACTATTATCGAATTATCCAAACTCTCGATTGCTGATCAGTCGCACGAGGTCACTGTACTAGACAACTTCCATGATACTTCGAGCCGTATAACTACAGCAAAGGATTACGTGTTGCGTCGATGCAATCAAACGGACGCGATACTCTTTGATGAATGTTATCCAGACGCGTGAGTACCCACTTGTCATTATTATCTACATACCTACCTCTGTCTTGAAAAAAAAAAAACATGAAAACAAAGTAAAATTGGCGATTATTTAGGTCATTTAATTACAAAATAGTGGCATTGTTATTAAACGCTAGCTGTAATTTCTCTTTGAGATAACTTGTGTGGTTATACCCTACATTTTAAATCTTAGTATTCAATGACATGCGAATATGTATAGCTAGCTAAATTGACCAACTGCCCTAGTTTTGAGCTAAGAAACGAATCTACAGTTTTAATTTGTTTGTTACACAACTTTTATATCATTGGAAGCAATAATGTCAAGCTAAAACATCTGAAGTTTAAGCAAAAAGGTTTTATGTAACGGCCTGACTCACAAATGACTTAACTGGTAGACAAAAACTGTTTTACAGCTACCCGGGTAATTAGGATTTTCTAAATAACTCTGAGAAAAGAAATCACCAGAATTTTAATGAGAGTGAACTCATGACTCATAGATTAGACGACTTTTTTGACCTTTTGAAAACAGATTAAAGGACATTGGCCTTTATGCCTCACATGTTTTCACCTACCTACATTAAAAAGGCATAATAAGTAGCCATGTTGATATTTATTCATTAGTCATACACTGCATAGGTAGCAAACTTGAAGGATGTTTTTTGTTTTTAAATCCATAGAGGAAATACAAAGAGTTTACATTACCAGTGCTTGTCTGTTTATTTTTTTACAATATTCACACATTTGTGAATTTATTATGATTCTTCAAGGATATGATATTTTGTTCTATTGTATTGTTTCGTTTGTTTGTTGTGAAACTTGTATGTTATACAATGTTCTGTATTAGTTTATCTTGTCAAATTATGTTTCGTAGATATTATTTTAATTATAATCTTACCTGACTGAAATATAGACACAATTCTTCAAAATAATACCTAGACTTGGTATTGTTAAAACAGTGCCAGAACACTAATTATTGTAAAAACCAATTTTCATTGAAAACTTACTATTTGTTTAGTTACAAGGTTGTGTCACAAGATATTACCTTGTCAATTATTATTTAACATTGAGCATCATTGTTATCATGCCCAATTTACCAATAATATTTTCAACAAGCACTTGTAAACGGTTTCTTTCATATGTATTTTATTTATACAATACTCTTTAGTGAAAGTTGCAGAGGCAAATCTTTGAATAATAATGGTGCTGCCAACTCTTTATTTTTATTAGAGAGACTTTATTTGAAAGATATATTAAATTAAATTAGAGAGTTTGTGTCTATGAAATTTGTTTTCTAATATAACTGAGCTAAGCATACTTTTTTGCTGCATATTATTGCAGCAAATTGAATGTGGTCACAAGATTACTTGGCATAAATATTAAATCTACTGTTCTTAATTACTTCAAGTTTGCCACAGAGTATAAATCACATTACAATACAATCCTCTTTGCAGTTTATTATATTTGTTTATACAATTAATTATCTGTCCCTGTCTGAATGAATGTACATTTATCTTATACTACAGACAGATACTTCAATTATATTTGTATTACACTCATAAATTTTAGTGGGGACTCATACACTTGATACGTTATTTGCTTTTGATAACACAGCAACTCTATATTCTGTGACACATTTTTACTGAGAATTTCGCAACATTTTGTTATATAATAATTACATGAATTTAATGCTGAATCTTGTAAAAACCGCTCGTTAGCATTAATAGTATTTTGCAAGCCATGCTTTAATATAATATTCTACAATCTGTGAAGTTCTTAACTTATTCATATATTCCTTGATAGTTTAAAGGTATCTGCCTAGCAACTATAAGGGTTCTCACATATCTTAGTGTCTTCATATTTCAATAATCATATGAAATTAGCTCCCTAATCTAATCAGGAAATGAAGGAACATAGCAGCATTCAGTTTCATATGTATTGTTTACATAATAATGTGATGAGCTTATCTTAATAGCTATGTTCTATTAACATTTAAGATGATATTTAAAGATATTAATTTCAGTTGGCTTGAAGTTTGTTACAAACATCATGATGATTTATGTAATGCTTGTTTCATGTTTTAAGAGAAATGCCAATGTGTGTGTTAATATTATTGTCAGATGCACCTTTATAACTATAGTTTTTCGTTACTGAGCGATTGACTGACTGACTGATACGACACACAGACAATACATAGCCTAACGATACTGGGCGTAGAAAACTGTTACACGTTCTTATAGACGTGTGGGAGTGTACTACAAAATCCCTCTTGCCTCCCGAAATAACCACGGGAACAGGAAAATCCTTATTTTCGCGCGTATGAAGTTGCGATCGTAAGCTAGTTTAATATAAAGTTGTGTAACTGCCTACAAATTTTCCTTAAATTATACAACCGTAGAAAGTTTCAACCCCTTAACCGAAAAGTTATTTTCGGGTCTCTATTTTAAGAAGTAACTAAAAGAGTTTCACAATTTTAGGGCTTTGAAAAACTGCCACAAAATCGGCGAAGGGGTGTACGGCGAAGTGTTTCTGTGGCGAGCCAGAGATGGCCGAGCTCGCGTACTGAAGATCGTCCCTATTGCCGGCACGCTCAAGGTCAATGGAGAGAGTCAGAAGGACTTCCACGAGATCATATCTGAGATTGTGATTGCTATGTAAGTACACATTTGAAGTTGATTTGCTCTATATTATTAGTTCATTACAATCCTATTCAGCTTGTTCTCGTTTTCAGCTGAAAATAAGGTTTTGCCATTCATAATATGCCACTCAACTCGATCTGCAGCTCTTCTCAACCAAGTCTGATGCCACTTAGTCGATATAATATTGTAACCGAGTAGGTAGTTGAAAAATCGTAAACAATGCAATTATTAATCATTAATTTAATATTCTTGCCGATAAAATGCAACAAAGTTATATAAATTTCGTCTAAATTTCCGATAGTTGCTTGTTGATCACATTCATTAACAGCTCTGTTAATAGGTCAAGAGATTGATAAAATAATGAGCGTCTGTCTGTCGTATGGACGAAATTATTTCATATATACTTTTGCCAAAGACGAAATAAAGCACTTAACTGTGAAAGTAATTTCAACCTTGTCGACTCTCGAAATGTACATTATCAGTGTATTTTGGCACTAATTTTGAACAAATGTGACGTACTAGTCTTGTTTGCGTTACTTTTATTCAGGTTTTGGGCTCAATGTCAATGTAAAGAGGCAGACAATGAATATAATTTCACGTTATTCATTCATTACGTAGTTACTTTATTCTCCGTTGGCGCCACTGACGTTTTATATCCTGACGGTCAAATTATTGACGCACTAATGAGATTGGAAATATAGTTCTAGAAACTAAAGACTGTTTCAAAATACGTTTATCGTATTGCCAAGTGCAAAACAAAATGTTGCAATACCGATTATTATGACACAATTTCACGGTACTTTCTCAGACCTGACCGTATGACTAAATATTAGCAGAAACCAAAGATTAAAATATTATCAACAACCAAATAAAGTTTATCGAAGTCTGCTGACTATTTATGTAATCAATTGCTATCATCATATAAATTAACGTCCTTGTATTTTTGCTAGCGAACCTACTTCCTAATTTAGATAATAATCGCTATATTTGTAAACTAATCAGACATTTTTCACGCGTTTTGACTGATATCTATTCCAACTAATTTATCGTATTTCTTCCTACATTAATGTTCAATTTAATATCGCAGAACACATCGCTATTGTATTTAAACTAGGTCAATTTATCAGTATAATTACTGCTAATGTAAATTAATACATATACAGCTTGTTTGTTAATAAATAGACAAATATACTCAACAAATAGGTCGCTTGATTGAATTCTTTATACAGTCTCAAAACCTTATTTGAAGCTGTTTGACATACCGCCAAATTATATGCGAAAACAGACTCTATATCTTAGTAAAAAAAAACCCACTATAACACGTTTGCTTGCCAAATTAATACTATACAAATAACCTCATTATACATCATATTCGCTGTTAATTCTTATGACCCAATTTTCTTTAAATAATAAAACTTGTTTGCAAGCAATCTTTATGCCGCGATCTTACAAAGAAACGGGTTACTTCCGCAATGGCGATGACTTGGCAACACGTTTATATAACAATTATTTTAGCTCCATATCAACTGAATTTAATTGTTTTAATTACGTGATTATGTGCTTTGTTCTCGTTCTTGTTACCCAACTCTCTTTTGAACGTGTATTTAAGGGTCTTTGGAAGACTTAAACAAAGGTTTTGGTCTCGTAATATTTTAGCTAAAAGTGACATAATATTTTAGAAAGATTCTGTATTGTCCTAAGTCTTGAACCATTTCATTGAAGCTCATGACGTAAGACTTTCATAGCTCAGTGCTGGAAACGTTATAACATCAAACTTCGTGTATTCGGGAACATATCGTCGCTTGAGCTAGTATAAATAGATAATTCTGGAATGTTTCACTAAAAATGCACTGGTTGTAGTTCGCTTACGTTTTATTAACGAATATTTTCTTTTAACAGGGAATTGAGCGCACTACGCGCTCCCATAGCCGAAATTAATCGCCATTTTGATGACGGGAAGGACGTTGAGGCGCTGGATTTGCACTCTATAGAGAATGCCACTGATGTATTCAATGAGGTAAGTCAAATTTTCAATATAATTTCATTACAAAAGCTTCAAGAAGATACTGGCAACAGGCAGGTACTATTGCCAGTATTATACCTGTAGAAAACTAAACTTTCAAATTATAAACACTCTGTCTTTATTATGTATTATTACTCCCGCATAACTATGTATTAAACGAGGTAATTTGAATAATTTCGTTTGTTATGAATATGAGCTCCTTACGTGGCTGGAAACTAGTCGAGTTACTCGACAAACAGTTCACAAATAAACCATAAAAGATACGCAACCCTTTACGTATCAACTACGTTAGATACGATCATACGAATACACATAGGTTCTACATCTATGTATAGCGTAAGCTCTGAAGGTTTCCGCGATGCGGTGCAATCGATACTCCGGTATTTGATACAAGGTCACTGTGGGATTTTGTTCGTACCTTATATAATCCTTGAGTCTTCCTCATACCTAGAAACATACACGAATCATTTTCTTCGTAAAAATATACACCTCATGACTCATTTCAAAGGATTTTATATAGTTCTAATTTGTCATCACTTTAAATGAAAGTGCAAAGTATTGTAGGTTCATAAGTGCAAGTTGATGACGTAAGGTGAGCGAAAAATGATACCGTAGACAATGGGTAGTTACGTAATGTTAGCGATTGTCCATAGACGTGTGTATCGAGCGGACTGATGACGCGGGCGTGCGGTTAGCAACACACATGCATTCGATACCTTTTATGAGATAAATTGAACTAGAAATGTCCCGTCACTTTGTCCGCGTTTAAAATTGTTTAAGTTGCAAATTAGATGTGTGAGGTACCGGGGGTAAGATTAAATAGCGGTAGGCTTACACTAAATAAACTAATTTATTCTATTAGATCTACGTGGTTTTCCGGGATAAAAAATTTAAACTATAAATTACATAACATGAAATCACGGCTTTTATTTCCGAAGGGGTAGGCAGAGGTGCACATTACGCCACTTAATGCCACTGTACAATGTAACACCCACTTTTCACTATTCATGTTATGAGTCCCATGGAATACGGGGCGAACCTATAAACATATACCGGACACAATTCCAAATTTTGTGCTACCACCGAAAATTTAAAAAGCCAGTTAAACTTTGCCCGACCCGGGAATCGAACCCGAGACTCCTTCCCCGGCAGTCGCACTTGCGACCACTAGGCCAACGAGTCAGTCAAACTATAAATTAACTGTAAATAAACTGTGGCAAACTTCCAAATCTGTTCAGCCATTATGAAGTAAAAAAACATCTACATAAACTTTCACATTTTTTATGTTATGTAAAGTAGTTTTATATCATTAGCTAGCACATAGGTAGTCCGTTTAAACTGTCAAACACCAAGCGGTCACCGGTGACCGCAACCTATTGTTCTTTAATTGTGTCTATAATGACGGTACTCGACGAGTTAAATCAGAGTAATTCAGAACCAATAGACAAAAACTAATTATCATAATGTGATATCTAAACAAAAACAACATATTCGCAAACAAATTAAGGTCACACAAATATTTACGACAATAAGAATTCTCTCGGCGACGCCAGACGTAGTGTTTACGTGAAACGGGTCAATTCTCAACCAAACACGTCCATTAACATTAATTTTCCTTATAACTCGAAATTATGTAGGAACTTCTATATGTATAGTGTATACTTTACCTGATAATAGAAGAGTAAAATACACGTGTACTATTATTCGTCTTACGAGTATTGTAAGATGCGAACTGAGAAGAGACCTAACATCGCCTGAGAAGTGTTATTAACGGCCGAAATCCAAAGATTCTATCATATTTCTTCATATCAGATTTATCATCTGAGATCAGGGGGCTTACTCTTGAATCTAAATCCGATCGATCGAAATTGGTATTATGCAATTTCATATTCTTGAGGTGCGACACTAGCGCCTATTGCATCCGTATTGCGGGGATATTTAATGAACTAAATGGTATTGATTTTGGCTTTATATTCCGTACTTCGAATGCTATTTTAGCAGCTTCGATTGTGGTTTTATTGCATTGAAATTGCATTGACATTGGTTTCAAGAGTAATTAAGCACCCAACTCAGTCCAATCTGTGAATTTATAACAGATACCACCATACATCGAACATTTAACAGAGACAGAGCAAGAGTGTTCTCTAATAAACCTGAACATTTTGAACAGCTATCGTGAATGGCAAACTCCTTATGTCACAGAGACACAGACACTGTCACGGGCTCTTGATGTTATATAGTTCACTATAGACGGTTTTACTGAAGGTGAAATGAATATCATACACATATAACATGTACTATGTAAAGTACACAAGGTCCACGTGTGAGATATATTATGATACGACGCAGTACCTAATCGTGATTGAGATAGTTGTAGTAATGAGTAATTCGCTAATTGAACTATCATATCTCATTGTTTGACGTGTAACGTTGATATTATTATGACTTACAGTTCTCATAATTTCCTAGAAATATGTGCATAGATGTTACAGGAAAATGTTGACTAACTATGTAGTCGTGGACTGCCAAGAATTTGTTATTATAGTTTCAAATTTTCCTTTAGATTTAGCGTTGTTTGTTCTGAAATATTGTTCTAAACATTGCTGATGTTACCAGTGCTAGGCTAATATAGTATGTATGAATTTATTAAGTCTGTTGGCAAAACAACATTTGGCATTGATCGATCTTTTAAGCTTGTATTCAACAACGAAAGGATCTCTAAATCACAACATCTAAATAAATCACTGTCTTGATTTCTTTTACGTAACAAAAGGAAGAATACAATCCGGACAGGTTTGTATATTGAATTCTCTATAGGCTCGGGCCGTACCTGTATGTGGGAGTAACTTGTTAAAAGGTCCATGAATCCTCTTTTACATAATAGATAGTTATTTCTACCTGCCTTTGACGTCACCTGTCCCTTTCATCTAATTATGTTACGAATTGAAAATGAGGTTTTATCCTCCGTATTCTCTGTATAACCAGTTTGTTTTAAGTATGATAAATTGTGTAAAGTCAACAGAGTAAAACTGATTATTTAATCTATCATCACGTTTGTGGGCGATAAGCATAGAAACTCGGCATCTGTACATGCAACGTTCATACTTGATATGCAGTTACTATAGCATGTTGGGAAATATCTTCCTCAGCACATAAATAACCGACCTCAGCTCAACTATAAAGTTTTATCGGCAAATATTAATTGACATAATGTTCACTCGTCATAAACGTATTTAGCATAATATAAAACCAATAGCCGTACGAAATGAGGTCATTACAACGCGTCACGAGACGCTTCTAGGAATAATTATGAATCACCGTATTCGCGGCACTACAAAACATAGCGTAAAATTTTACTTTCGAAACTCACGTGAATCATTGTATTGACGAAAATGAACAATGTTTGTTTGTTTGATACAATAACTAGGCCGCACTGTTATCGGAACAAGACGCCCCTATCTCCACAGCTGGCGCATAATTTAAGTTTGTTAAGCCAATCGTAAATTATGATTATAAACGGACGCAATTTATTTCTTTCTTCCACAATTACTCATTGTTGTCGCTTCATTCATTATGTTTGCGGTAGGTAATTCTTTGTCGGGTGTTTTATCATATCTTTGTTCAAATGCAACTGCAATGTCTCAGCCTTATCTCTTGAGACTGATTAGCGATTCCTGCTGTTCAAATTAAAAGTTCGTTTGTACTATATAATAATCTTTTGCAGTATTTTACAAAGCTCTGAACATACCACGTTTTGTTTGCGCAGCCATTGTGCGATAGTGGCGACCTTATGTCTCTTGTATCATGATGTAAATAAGATTTGTACGTCTTAATACTTTGTACACATAAACATGAATTGCAATAGTAGAAGTATATTGCGTTAGAAACTCGATTGTTTCCTTCGTTTTCCTGTTAGAGAAGAATTAAGGAGGAAAACTTCATGGCTAAAAATAATCAACAACGTCACATGGTAACAAATTTTTAACTCAACCTTTCCCTATTTATACGGAGAACACGCGTTGCAAAGTTGACATTTTAACTAAGGCAGGATATCTATTTTAAAATTCCGCTAAGCAACAGGTTGCAAGCTCGTGAGATGGCACATGGCACTTCCTTTCTCTAAACGCGATAAAACAACAATTGAGCGCAGCTGCTGCACATTCTTTATTGTAAGTTGTTTTATTGGCAAGCCGCAAGCTCCCGCCGGCTGGCTTACATCTCTGTTACGACAGGTTTTCAATTCTACTCTAAATATCTTATGTAGGCATGTAAGTACACTGTATGATGGGAAACTTAACCTAACCCGAATTTTGGCCATTTGCCTCTATCGCTGAACGGAATATTAATGTTATGTATTTTTCGTTTCGTTTTCGTCTTGCAACAAGAGCAAAAGCCCGGATTTCAATTTATATTTGGCTAAATATAGAACTTCCTTCTACTGTTTGGTATACATTTGGCGCTTGTTAATCTGGGACCACCCAGAAATCTATAGGTACTCTATACTAATATTGTTTGTTTGGACGCGCTTATCTCCGAAACTACTGGTCCAAATTCAATAATTCTTTTTGTGCTAGATAGTCCATTTATCGAGGAAGGTTATAAAACATCATGCTATGACCACAAGGAGCCGAGCTGCGGGTAAAACCGCGCGGAATATTGGAATAAAATGGAGTTACTATACTGTTTTTTTTTTGTTGTTATAGGTTCTTGCTGTGAGATGCGTATACGGCAGCTACCCAGCTCGCTTGCTTGATTTGTGGGATCTATATGACGAGTGCAAAGGCTCTGAGAACGACAACCCTGCTATACTGCCGGTAGACCAGCAGTTCATTGTGCTGGAACTAGCTAACGCAGGTCAAGATTTAGAGAGCTACCAGTTCAACAACGCTGAACAGGCTTATGCCTTGTTCCTTCAGGTATGTTTAAAAAATATCTACTTTTTTTATTAAACATGGCATGGTTTTTTTATAATTTTGATGTTGTTTATGTATTCTTAATTACGTTTTTTTTTTCTAAACAGAATGTGAATTTGTTTTTTGTCATGTTTTTGTGATTACCCAACAAATTGAGTGCATTTTTTTGTTAACATTTTACTTTCATGAAATGATTGATGTTATGAATAGAAAGTAACAAATTGCTGTATTTATTTCGTTATTAGTGACTGATTTTGATTGCAGTCACGAAAAATACAGTGTAATTATGTGAACTGCAATCATATTTATGTTTAATGGCTTTTTGTTCAAAGGTCCATACATTTTGTTGTTGAATCTAACCTTATTTGTTCAGTACTCTCTAATGCATGATGACCATAGACTTTTATAGAAGAAGCCATAGATGTTTGTGTTTGAAATTTTGTTTTTTTTTCTTGTGTTTTTTTTTCAGTGGCTCTCACCCTGCATGCAAGCAGCCTCCACGGAAGATAAGCGATATTCTAGTATCAAGTTGATTACGTATCTTGACTAGATTATCACTTATCCTCTGAGGTCGCTTTCGCGCGCTTTACATGTGTTACCAGTGTGTGGATTTTATTTAACTTTTTATTTTTTATTTAGCATGTTTTTGTGACCTTTTTGTTGTTGTATGATTGTATGTAGATAATGATTTTTGTAACGAAGTGTTTATCGTTTGTAAAGACCTATTTTATTACCTTTCTGTAACAAGTCTACTAAAACTTTATGCTATGTTTGAGAGATTATCGAAGATTGCTAGTCTGATATTTGATTACACTTTGATTTAAGCAGTAAAAACCCTTTTCATTGTAAAAGAAACCAACATTATTGTCAGGTTTATGAAATAGGCCTTTATTAACTCTTTTTTAAATAATTTTGTGATTTTTTTTTCTGTGTTTATAGTTCTATGTTCTGTGTTATAAATGTATGTTAAAAAATGGCTTTTTTAACGTAAACTATGTGTCGGCAGGTTGCGTATGGTCTGGCGGTTGCAGAGGAGGCCTTTCAGTTTGAGCACAGAGATTTGCACTGGGGTAACGTGCTGATTGCTCCCACAGAACAAAAGGTATGTCACTCTTGATTTTTAAACCTAGTAGTATCTTTTTACCCATTCATTTGTGACTTTCATATTCATAGGATAGTAGTGGCGGGTACCAAATTACAACCAATATGACAAAATACTGACATTAGGCGAATGCTAATTGTTAACACTAGAAAGACCAAGGCAGTCAAATTGACCGCAAGGCAATTTCATTGTTAAATATTTCACGAACTATGTTTTTATTTCTTTTCATATTTTATGACTTTTCCTAATTAGCTATTTTTAAGCTATTTCTATATATTTTGAAAAAATAACTATATTTTGTATATGAGTTTCAATTACAAATACCTATTAAGACCGCGCACCGTCAATGTGACGGCATACATATAAAGACGGCGATAAGAATAGTGAACAACGATCTCTTCAAACTATAGTGGGTACTTTTGTTTTTATTTATGTTGGATTGAATTCTGAGTAATTTGTTACTACCTAACTTGTTTATATTTTATAATAGGCATTTGTTTCGTTCGGTGAGCAGTCGTCCGATTAGCCGAATACGCGGTTTTGAAACTAGTTCAACCCTATTTCAAAAAGGGCCGAAACGTAACCACTGACAACTTTTTCACGTCTCTAAATTTAGCCAAATAAATATTGGTCGAAAAAACTAGTATTGTTGAAACAATGCGGCGTGCAAGACGAGAATTACCACTGATTTATAGAAGTATTCGTACTTCAAGATATGAAACTTTTATAATGAAAACCGGTACCGATACAACCCTTACTGTCTATCAAGGAAAACCAGAAAAAAATGTTATTATTTTGAGTAATCTGCACCCCAATGTAGGCATAGGTACTGATCAAAAAAAGTTACCTGAAACAGTTGAATTTTACAATGCAACAAAATTTGGCGTAGACATCATCGATCAAATGGCACGCAAGTACGCCGTAAGAGCTGGTAATCGGAGATGGCCTGTTCACATATTTTATAATATACTTGATTTAGCAGCTATAAACTCGTGGATTCTATACCAAAAAGTCTCAAACATAAAAATTTCTCGTCATGATTTTATTGTTCAACTAGTGAGCGAACTACGTGAAGAGTATGTGAAAAAAAAATCCACTTCAACTATGACCCACGAACAAGAAACTAATTCTGGCACAAATGAACCACTTACAACAAACAATAAGAGGCGGCAATGCCAAATCAATAGTAATTGCAAAAAGTATAAAACATGCGAAAATTGCACTATCTGTAAAAAAACTTGTTTGTGGAAAATGTACAAAAGAGTCTAAAAAACTATTACTTGCTACACATGTTACTCAGCTTAATGCATTTTTTTATTATTAATAATAATAACAATAAATTTATATTGATTTTATTTTATTTTAATGCAAAATATGCAATAATTTCTAAAATTTTCTGACTTAATCTTTAGTACCGTCATATTGACCGCTGCGGTCTTTGAAGGTATAACACGAAGCCCGGCCCTTCTAGTGTTAAACCCACCGATCTAGGAGAAATGGCCATAAGACCAGGTGGTCTCATCAGTTATTTCTCTTCTACCAAACTTCTTATCGATAAGATACCTTTCAAAATCTCCCACAGCTAAAATCAACAATGTTTACATAGAACCTACAGTATACAGCCAGATAACTCGTACTGTCCATTACCGACAATCGCGATGGCGCTCAGTGTACCATGTCGTTCAGTTATCAACGCCATTCTATCGCCAAGCCCACCGCGATGTCGCCTGATCAATTCACTTAAATGCTATCTTGGTATCTCTTAAATGATGCTGAAGAACTTAAGATAAGTGCACAAAGAAATCGCTGTCCGTGTCGACATGCACTGTCCAGTTTTATAATTATGTGAGTTTAATAAGCCAGTAACAGTATTTAAGTTATTGTGCTAATTATAAGTAATGCCTAAACGTGGATCCACGCGAGACACAATGTATTTTCTATTGTATCTCATATACAGGCATTCAAGCGGTTGAATCCCAATTAAACCCACCGAGGATCTTGTCTAATAACAGAGGGCTTAAAATGAAACCCTCTGCTCTGATTGGCCTACTCCAATGAACTAGCCAATCAGAGCGCCGAACGCGGTCTCGTTCAACAAATTCGTACCCTCGAAAACTGTTCCCAAGTATAAGAAGTATAATTTATTTGGTGTAGTAATTCTCAAAGCATAACCAAAAGGAAATATGCAATAATAAATATTTATATTATATATAATGATTAATTCAACAAATTACTGTTTCACACACTTGCTTGACGTCAATAATAATCATAAATTAGCACAATAAAAAACTTTAATCTTACCGTTCAGTATTGCATTTGTATAAAACAGGTTTGCATTACTAGTTTTAACGCTAACAATTGCATAAAGTTGCCTTATTGTATAACAGTGTATTGTACATACAGTCAACCAAGTTATTTGGAAGTAAGAAATTAAAGTAGAGTACAGAGACAATAACCATTGACTGCCTTTGCTGAGTAGACCAAATCCAAAATATGTGGTTTCATTAAAAAGCATACTATTTTGTATAAAACTATGATCTCCGAGCCAAGAGTAAAGATTATCCCGAGCGTACGGCGCGCACCTCAAAGAGACAAACCAGCACAGATGAGCCCAATAGGGCTGATGCCGATACGGAGCCGCGGAGAACCTAACGGGTTACCGGGACTCCGGCTCGAAGTGCAAGAATAGACACGGGGTGGTTTTTAGTCAGTAAGAGTCTGACACTCCTTCTCCCTTCACCCGGGAGAAGTCATTGGATGATTTTCCCTCCTCAAAAAAAAGGTGAAGATGAAGAAAGAGAAGCCCCCCCTAGTCCAATAGTCTCGTCTACTCAAGTCTGAGTGTAATGCTAACAGACTGACGGGTCATCAACCTCCCCTCTGATAGTCTCCGCGAAATTTCTTATCTTTAACATTACATTTATGTGAATCTTGAAATCAGTTTTTTAAATATTTGATTACTGAGTATAATGTAATTGTTATATCAAGTGTAATTATTATATCAAACTAAGAAAATTAGTTATAACATTTATTCATCAATAGATAAATTTCATTACAATTTTAAAATAAATTATATTCACAAAATACCTTTTTAAAATTTCTGACGTAAATAGAAAATAATATATTTGCAAACTTACCTTGGCGACATTACAATATTAAAATCAATTAATTCAAATCAAATCTTAAACATTATCCATTTTATCATATGCAGGGCCTTTTTCATATCATTCAATTATGATCAAAACAATATGGGAAATTGTTTATACTTAGGTAATTATTATTTAAATGCATTGATAATGATAATAGTAACATTTGATAACCTTGTTTTAAAACCTTCTAGATGGAAAAGTCAATTGTTGATTGTGTAAAATGCATTTTCAGCCAATATAATGAATAATATGAAATACGTGAGCATGCATCATTTCATAAGGTATTTTAACTAATATGACAATGGTCTAAAAAAAAACCAATTAAAGGATTGTAAACAACTAGAATTCTTCTGTATCAAAGACAGTCATCGTTCTAGTAAACAAAAAATCAAATAGTTTAGCTTGGTTAGATCAGAAGTCACCTAGAATCGACCTTTGGAAGTTGACGGACAGTTTAAAAGACGCAGGTTCAAGTTTTGACCTCCAGCGCGAGGTCGAAGCACTGTATCGAAGTTTGGGGGTCACTGGGAACAATGATAGAAAACGTACAAGTAGGAAGTAAGTGTGCCAGAAGTCTTGATTAAATAGCTATTTAATTACAAATAGAAATATTTTTGGAATTTGTGCGCTCTGTAGGCAGTTATGCTGAAATTTAGACAATAGTGTGTAAGGAATGTCAAGGTTTTGTCAATTCCGTGTTTTATGAAGTCCGGAAAATTTTATTGTATTGTTTAAATATGATTGAAATTCTTTACATAATCACTACTCTTCTGCTTATGAAAGTGATATTCTTTGGTAGATTTTCATCATCATTTTATTGATAATGTTTTGTATTTGTTACACGATATGTCACTTTGGATTATATAACGAATTATAAATATTTATTATTGAATTGGTGAAATTGATAAGAACCTTTTGTTTTGATTTAAAAGATTGATAAAAATAAAATTTTAATGATGTAAATCTAATCTAAATTAAAGGAATTAGAGTAGGTTGACCTACTGATACTGAAAGGGGAGAATGGAAATAGACACATTCTTCTGTCCCTAGTAGATTGAGATGGATAGGCAGTATTAATGTTATTAATAATAACTTTTGTCATCAGTACGCAACGTTTGTGCTGCGCGGTCGGTCGCACCAGGTGGCGCGGTGCGGGGTGGCGGCGACCATCATCGACTACTCTCTGTCGCGCGTGTCCCTGCCACTGGCGGCCGGCGACTGTGCGGCGCTGTACAACGACCTCGCCACCGACGAGTCACTCTTCGAGGCCGTCGGGGACTACCAGTTCGAGGTGTACCGCCTCATGAGAGAGAAGTTGGGGTAAGCATCTATTATTAGTCTTTTTTTTTATCGAGTAGGGCGGCAAATGAGCAGATGGATCACCTGATGGTAAGCAATATTCGCCTATCGATCCTCGTAACACCGGCAGAGTTACAAATGCGGTGTTAGGGATTTGAGGATTGGCGCTCCGGTAACCTCATTTACACGGTGAAACACACCGCAAGCGTAGTTTCACGCCGGTTTCTAAAACATTTTACTTTCACATGTATTCTTGGAAGTCATAGGTTTAGCTCTGTCTCAGACTCGGAAATAAATAACCAATTATTTTCGGTTCATACGCCCACTTCTCTTTTGTATGACAACAATAACAAATTGTATTGGTACTCCTTGAACCATCCTCGTTCGTTAGCCTTTGATTTAACATTAAATTGAAAAGGACATTGATATAAACAGCATGCTATTCTGTTATCCTGCCAAAGGTCGCGTGTTAATACGTGGGGAAGGCCCCCCGCCACTCGTTTATTTGCGGACTTCCTCGATTTTCCTCCCGCAAGACGTAGCTCGAACTCTATGAATAAAACAAACTCTACTGAATAAATTGTTTGATACGTCACACTATGACGCATGATTTGTAAACTAGAAGTATATCGGTATTCTCGTATGATGATGTTTGAAGTATTTCTTTGCTCAGTGTAAATATTTATTAATGTCGCTAATGTAAATTAATTGCTTTCAGTATTATTATATTATAGGGATTATTTTATATTTATATAAATACATGATGAAATAAATCTGCGTCAATAAAAATCTTTGTGGAAGCGCAATGGGATTATTATTGTGGAATATTATCATTGAAATAATACTCGTAGGAAGGCCGGTATTCTCCAGCTCATTTTATTTCCGAGGTCGTGCAAAATAGCAGTAGTTTCTGTTCAAAAATTAGGTAGGTATATTTTACTGTGCGCCCGTTTCTCAGTCGGTACGTTGGTATTATGGACTGCCGAGCGACTGGCATGTATGTCAATGTATAGAAGTTGGCTCACTCTTATTATATATTCATAATTGAACTGGAGAAAATTTAACTAAGACACAAAGACTTCTGTATTTCAATGACTGGCATTTAGCCAAAAGGAAATGATCTTGAGAGAATCGAGATTGTGAATTTTAAAGGGTGCAATAAACTAATGATTGTTTTTGTTTTGTTCACAGAAATGATTGGAAGAACTTCGCGCCGTACACAAACATCCTGTGGCTGCATTACACTGTGGATAAAATGATAACGGCCCTCCGGTACAAGAGGACAAACACGAAGGTTCACAAGCACTACATTGACAAACTGAAGGGAATCCAGAGCAGAATACTAGACTACGGTAGCGCGGCTTTATTTGTGCTAACTGACAACGAAATATAAAAACGAACAAATTATGATAATATACAAAACAATTTCATATGTAAATTAATACAAACTAGTCTTAACAATGGATTTAATAAACTGCTGTTGCTATAAATCTGACATAACAATGAATAACATAAATTATTATAATGTAAATAAAATTTGCTTTGATAAATTGTTTGAAACGATAGACGCTAAAAGAGTTATTTACGATGTTGTCGCATTATTAGAACACTTACAGATAGAGGGTGCCTTTTTAGATAAGGTAGTGCCTTTGTTCACATTAATAAATTCATATATTGTGTTCCGAAATATTTGTTTTATTCAACCCTAAGTAAACATTTTATCCACACTTCACTTAATATGGAAATAGCACTTAACACGTCGTGCAAACCTGAACCCGCCAAATTACACTTTGAATTCCTTATTGAACCCATACTGTGAACCATGTATGTCCTTATAAGTGTCTCAAACTCACACATTAAACCGCCTGGGGCGGGGAATTCGAAAACACTGCTCGTTGGCCGAGTGGTCGCAAGTGCGACTGCCGGGCAAGTCTCAAGTCGGTCTCGAGTTCGAACCTGGGTCGGGAAAAGTATTACTTAGTTTCAAAAAAATTCTCAGTAGTAGCACGGAGTCTGAAATTTAAATAGGGTTTCCATGGTAAGAAAATTAAAAATCTAATTAGTCCATCAGATAAACAGTGAAAAAATATTATAATACGTATTTTTTTATTTTCTCGTATAAAGTTACAATACTTAAATAAAATGGAGTTAAGTTTAGGAGTGGGAGGTAGTTACGTCACAATGTGCTACAATTTGTAGCACGCTATGACGTCACAACATTTCAAATCAGTATATCGTCGAAAGCATTTAATTTTGTGAGAAAAGAAAAAAATATGTGTCTAATGTTTTAAAATAATCTACCAGACGGACGTTAAAATAAAATTTAGAAAACTACCCTATTGTGCCTGGTATATGGCAATAGGCTCACTCCCTATTACATGGGACTCATAACGTAAATAGTGAAAAGTGAGTGTTACATTGTACAAAAAACACATTGTGTAGGACTGAAATCCACCACACCTTGGATGCTATGCAGTGCAGCTCGTCAGCCCTTTGAATTAAAGTAAGAAAAACAGTAGAAGTCTGGTACCTACAAAAATGTTTGTCGCAATAATATTTTCGAATGCTCCTCATGAACAATACATACTACATAATGATTTTATTCGAATTCAATTATTTTTCTAAACAATGTAACGTGTTTCTAAACGTGAGATATTCATTCAAAAAATTGATAGTGTCAACAATTCCGAACGAATGTCTTATCTGTCAAGTTGTCAATTGCGGATTGTAGTCAATCGTTATCAGTTTTCCATTTCTTTTGCCAAAAATCTTCAGAAATGTTTGTTAAATAGCATAAATCTTACGAGAAACCCAATTAGTACAAATACATATAGTTACAATTTTCATGCTTCACGTCATTTTTACCTAATTCGACAATTTTATGTGTGCAAACAAAAGTCCTTAGTAATTCATTCGAACCATATTTTTCATGGAGTTTTCTTCAAGCTGGTGGTAAACAGACTAAATGAAAAGTGTATTTAGTGTAAAAATGGAGGCTAGCAATGATTCTTTGTCTGGTAAGTTGTGTACAGTTGTTGGAAATAGTTATGTAAAGTTGGTGTATTAAAATCGCGTGTGTTGATGTAATTCAGTGTTGTCTCCGCCGATGACGGGGTCTCCTGCTGTGCTGCTGACTCCTGGCCGGACGAGGAACATCGCACAGGACATGGAAGCCCTCAGACTGTCGCGACAAGACAATCCTTACCTCCAGGTGAGACTTATATAATTAAAAAACAACTATTACTGATTACTGCGGAAATAATTCATTTTTTTCATTCGTCATTCACCGACTAGAGCGAACGCGCTTTGTGCTGTTACTAAGTAAATGAGTTTATGTTTCGAATAGAATATATTGTAATCAGTGTGTAAGATAGGCTTCTCAGTGTTTTCGCGTCAAAAATAAACATTCAATCCACAAGCAAATAGGGCGCGCTAGTTTTATTCGCACACCGTCGCGAGAATAATAAATTATTATAAAACAATTACGTAGTGCAGTGTATAAGTGAACCTCACTAACCGTGCGGTAATTATCTACCTAAAGACTCGTACCTGAACGCAGTGTACACACAATGGTGCTTTCCCCACAAGGCAATAAATGCCAATCGGTTCCTGACTTGCATTCAAGCATGGATGCAGATGCTGCCATTAATATAACACAGAGAAATCCTAAGAGGAAACAGCCCGACTGTGAACTTGCATTGGCTATAACTACACTCACCGAAGAATTTAGAAGACAAGTGAATGCTTTACGTGTTGACATGCACGACCAGTTCGCAAGCATAAACGCGAGTATTAATAATCTTAGAGACGAGTTTAATAATTTGGCTTCTACCTCCGCTCAAACACAAAATGATTTAAAAGCATTACGTACAGAATTCTCCGATACCAAAAAGGATGTATTGATGCTAAATACAAAATACCAGGAACTATCGAGGGTCGTGACAGATTTGCAGTCGTCGGTCAACTTTAATTCAGCGAACAATATTGATAACGTGAAACGTATTGCGGAGATCAAGTTGGAGTTTGACATTTCTGCGTCTGAGACTAAGCGGATGTTCCAAAGTGAAATAGATAAGCTGAATCAGAATGCTCGTCAGTGCAATATTGAGATATGCAATCTACCTGAAAAACGTGGTGAAAATCTATTTGTCATCTTCGAGTCGATTGCGTCTATCATCAACATGCCTATAAAACAACAAAACATCGTGGCTATTCATCGTGTCCCACACGCACACACACAGAATTCACGTCCTAAAAATATTATAGTAAAGTTGACCTCCCAGATACTTCGTGATAACATACTGAGCGCTTATCGGCTGTCTAAAGGTATCACATCGGATCGTGTGGGTCTCGCAGGCACGCAATGTCGTATTTACATGAACGAGCACCTGACGCTTCGTAATAAAGAGTTATTTCGGAAATGTCGCGAAGCTGCAAAAACATTCCATTATAAATATGTATGGGTTCGTAATGCCACTATATTGGTCAAGGAAACTGATGATTCATCAGCCTTTGCAGTCCGCACGGAAGATGATATACATAAAAAGTTCAAATCTAACAATCCCTCCAATAAAATCATCGATAAAAACCCATCTTAAATTATATTGTTTGTATAACCTTTCATTTAAAAATAAAACATTGTTCTGTATTGTTTTTTATCGCTTGTATGGTACGTTCAAAGGTGTCATTATTTATTTGCTCCATATTTTAAAATACTGTTTCCAATATAAAATAAAACTTGATAACATTGCACACACGCGTCACGGTCCTGACACCGGTGGTTACATTGTTGCTGGATACTATAAACACTTAGATGTATTGTACGTTTACTCGCTGTTTTATGTTTCCGATGTAATGTTGATGGATTGCCGTCGGAGTTGTGAGTATTGGTTTTTCTTTATTAAAGGTGTGAGTCTGGGATTTACTTTTGTAATTAATATCATTATACCCCCACGTTCTGAAAATGGCTGACAATGACAAACTTTCCGTTTATTACCAAAACTGTCGAGGAATCAGGACGAAACTAAATACCTTATATTTAAATATTTTATCACATACATATGACGTCATTATCTTGACCGAGACCTGGTTGACGCCGGACATAGCCGATAGTGAATTTATTGATCATCGCTATTTGGTATTCAGATGTGATCGCAACCGTGCACTCACTAATAAAAGGGATGGAGGTGGTGTCCTTGTGGCCGTGGCGAAGGAATTAAAACCGACCTACCTCTCATTTTTGCCCCCGTTAGCATTGCCGGAACATGTTATAGTGAAAATACCCTCTAGTGATAATAGATATCATTTAATTTGTGCGACCTACATACCTCCGGGCTCTGATGAGAGAATGTATTTGACTTTTCTTGATTCTCTGTCTGTTTTATGTGACAACCCTCATATTGATAATATTATTTTAACAGGTGACTTCAACTTGCCTTTGATTAATTGGGAAAAAAAGTCAACTTATATGAAGTATGCTTTTAACAATAAAAACACAGATATAAATTGCAATCTGATGAACTTCTGCTCTCAACAATGTCTAAATCAGTATAACCATGTATTTAACTCGGTGGGACGCATCCTGGATTTATTTTTTTGTAACACTTACACCGTTTTGTTTGCCCCGGATACTCCCCTCTTACCTGTAGACACTTTTCACCCTCCTTTCTATGTACACGTTTCTATCTCCTGCCCCTCACACAACTCCAAGCGCAATGCTAATGGGAGACTCAATTATCACAAAGCTAACTACAAAAATATAAATGCGGAGTTAAGTAATGTTGATTGGAACTATTTACTCGATAATTTGGCACCTAATGATTGTGTATCTGCATTCTATGAAAAACTTTATGAAGTAATAAAAACGCACACGCCAGTAGTTAGACCTAAAAATGTGAATTACCCGATATGGTTCTCTGGGTCTCTTATAGCTATATTTAAATGTAAAACTCGTGCTTGGTGTAGATGGAAGAGGTACGGGAATCTGCGCGATTATGAGATGTTTTCCATCAACAGAACTAAATTTAAAAAAGTAGCTCATCAATGCTATATTAACTATATAAACTCTGTTGAGGACAATGTTGCTACTAATGTTAAAGCTTTTTGGACTTATGTTGCTAGCCGTAAAAATATTAATAAAATCCCAACATCGGTTCATTACAATCATGCATCATCTAATGATCCTATCACTACCTGTAACTTGTTTGCTAAATTCTTTCACTCGGTGTATGAGCCCTCTTCCTTTGACTGCGACTCATGGATGCCGCCCAATGATGAGGCCGAAAATGATATCAACCTGTGTAAACTGCAACTTCCCGTAGATGCTATACGTAAAGAATTGAAATCCCTTGACCCATCTAAAGGTCCGGGCCCAGATGGAATCCCATCAGTCTTTTTAAAAAACACAAGTGATACAATTTGCTATCCCTTATTTATCATATTTAATAAATGTTTATCGTATGGCGTCTTTCCTGATACTTGGAAACATGCAAATATTGTTCCAGTTCATAAGAGTGGATCCAAACATGACGTTACGACTTATCGGCCCATATCTATACTGTCTGCATTCTCTAAACTCTTTGAGAGACTAGTACATAACGTGGTTTATCCGACCATACATAATGTCCTCATTGGTGAGCAGCATGGATTCGTTAGGGGTAGATCTTGTATTAGCAATCTCCTAATTTTCACGTCTTATCTATTTAAAGGTATTGATTCGAGACAACAAATTGATGCAGTCTACACAGATTTCCAAAAGGCGTTTGACAAAATTGATCACAAATTGCTACTTAATAAAATCGCTTACAATGGGATTAGGGGGGATCTTTTGCGATGGTTTGTGTCTTATATAACTAATAGAACGCAAAAAGTTGTGATAAGTGGCTTCGAGTCCAGCTGTATTTCGGTCATGTCGGGTGTCCCTCAAGGTTCCATTCTGGGTCCTTTACTCTTCATTTTATTCATTAATGATATAAAAATCTGTTTTCAACATTCTAAGTTTCTACTTTATGCAGATGATTTAAAGGTATATAAAGTCATAAATAACAGGCAGGACTGTATTAATTTCCAGCATGACCTAAATCGTTTTTCAAATTATTGCTTCACCAATAAGCTTTTTCTCAGTCTTCCTAAGTGTCACGTTATAACATTTACCAAAAAGAAAAATAAAACTGAATTTAATTACTCCCTTGCTAATACTTTCCTGGTTAAAGTTAATTGTCTTCGTGATCTTGGGGTCCGGTTGGATTCGAAGCTACATTTAAATGTTCATATAGATGGAATAGTTAGTAAAGCATACCAAATGTATGGTTTCGTTATGAGGGCCTCTAGGGAGTTTCGTAGACCTTCCACCTTTTTGTATTTATACAAATCTATAATTAGACCTCAATTGGAGTTCGCAGTACCTATATGGAACCCGCTGTACAAGAAATATAATGATACTTTGGAGATGGTACAACGCAAATACATTCGTGCAGTTGGTTATAGATGTGATCGCAGAAGATCCTCATACTATCCATTACTTAAAAAGTATGATCTTCTAACATTACAGTCGCGACGAACGTTCCTGGACATTATGACTCTGTTTAGTGTGTGTCGCAATGGGTTCGATTGTCCTGACTTGATTAATAGTATATACTACCTGGTTCCTCGCACAGCTTATATACGGGAGGTGCGCGATCGGCGTTTGTTTGCCAATAACTATTGCAGAACCAATGCTGGCTCACGTTCGCCTCTTCATCGCATGGTTGAGGCTTACAGCGGTGAGTTTAACGGAATTGACATCCTATTTTTGAGTAAAAACGTTTTTAAGAGGCAAATTCGGACATCTCTTATGGATCGACAGTCTGTCTGTGACGCTGTGTGTGTGCGAAATTGCAAGAATTGTAAAAATTGTTAAAATTTGTTGGTGACCATTTTAATTATTCGTGTAAGTGGTGCATCGTAAATCTATGAAGGCTATTGTCTTTGTTTCACATTAGTTTATTCTATTTGAAAATGTAACTATATTTGTGTCACTCTAGATCTAATATAAAAAGTAATCTGTGGAGAACGTAGTGGGTAACATATTTGCCAAGTATAATGTATAAGCTGAATTATGTATATTTTGTAATATGTTACTGTTTGTTTTTCCTTAAATAAATAAATAAATAAATAATTGTAATGACATGCGTTTTCCGCGTAGATTATGTGTAAACATTGTTTTTAAGGTATAAGACACAATTTAGTATTCAATATTTCTTTACTAATGTTCTTCATGTTTTACAATTTTAATAGAAATGATCATAAAACATTAATACTGGACTGTACTGTTACAAGTTGTTGTGTAAGATCTGCAGGAATTTCTAGTTTTAAATTGTTTACATAATGTTATAGTACAAAATTATGTATCTGTTGTAGATCTAAAAGATGTTGGTTATTGCTTTGTAAGAAAGAAATATTTTTTTTAAATTTGATTTTATTTATATTTCCAGCAGGTAATGGCCAGCAGAGAAAGTCTAATTGAAAGCCACCATGAAGAGTGTGAATCAGACGACACTATACTTATGTCACAGGTAAATAAATTTTATTAGTAAAAATATTTTTTTTATTATCATGGTTCCATAGACAAGGGTCAGTCAGTGGAACAATTTTTTTTCTAAAATCAACATTTAATATGCATTCTACATTATCTATGCTGAGTGAATTTCGCTTGTGGCTCCCCCTGCTTGTTGTTAGAATAAAGAGTAGCCTATACCACCCAGCTACTATAACTAGTAAATATGAAATTTTATTACAGTATTCTTGCGTCACCATTATTATCTGAGGCTAGAACACTATCATTATTTTATTTTTTAGTTTAAGGGTTCATTCAGTTCATTGTAGTTAGTACTTAGATTTTATTTTGTATGCGATATTAGAGCTGATGTTTTCCTTTTACGAATAGAAGCTTAAATATTTATTAAACAAACATAAAAAACCTATAAGAACATAACATAACATCACACCTTTTATCCCTGAAGGGGTAGGCAGAGGTGTACATTACGTCACTTAATGCCATTGTACAATGTAACACCCACTTTTCACTATTTATGTTATGAGTCCCATGTAATAGGGGGTGAGCCTATTGCCATATACTGGGCACAATTCCATGCAACACATAAAAAACTAACTAGTAGCGAAATTGCCCTACTGTTACATAAAAGAAGAAAAAAAATGTATTCTTGCATTTATTATATTTATAATGATTAAATCCAAATAATTTAATCATTCTTTAATAGAAAAAACGAATTTAATATTTGTAAAAAAAGCTTATTGATACTAATTGTACTGTTATCACTATTGAAACATTAATGATAATACACATAAACCGGTAGATAAAGCTTAAAATATTTAAAAAATTCAATAACTATTAATTCATTATCGAATCTTTTTAATTTAATGATTTTAATCTAAATAAATGCATACTAAGTTGAGTCATTCAATGTTAATTTGTGTGTGTGTGTGTGTGTGTGTGTGTGATTCGGTACATTACATATTGTCTGATATCAGCCAATTTAAGGATTTAGGATTACAAGATGTACTAATAAAAAATTTACATATATTCTAATCTTTTGATCAAATTAGTTCAACTAGAAAAATCACGGCTTCTGGAATATTAAAAAAAACTAAAAATTCCAGCAATACTTTTTCAAGACCGCTTCCTAGGCAGTCGCGGTTTCGGCGCCAAGAAGTAAGTAGTAGTTGATGACGTGTGTAAGCAACATAATATTTTTTATCTTTTTTAAAACATTACCTATACTAGGTTTTTCTCCTGTGCCGTGGGTGCATTTACAAACATACAATGTCACAAACACATAACACCCAGACCCGAAACAACAATTTGTGGTTCACACAAAGAGTTGCTCCGTACGGAAATGGAACCGTGCAATTATTACAGAAAAACATAGCTCATCTAGATTAGAAGCACCATTATGACAGTTTACGCCATTTTTACTGTTGCCGCGAACTTGATCGTGAATCTAATTGGCTTGTCGAGATTACAGTGGACATGTCGCATAATCTGCTTTGTATTGAACTTTCGGTTGTCCTGTCTGCCTTAATTAACTTACACATTATAATCTTTGTTTCCTTCCAATAATGTTATTATAATGTTGTTTTTTTTATATATCGTCATTGTAATGTATATAGATTTAAAAAAGGAAATGAGAGAGAAAGCAACTTTATAATATCTACTTTGTAAAATAAAATAAAACAGTGAAATTAAAAGGTATAGGAACAAAGTATGTAAAAAAAAATCAAATTTTGATAGACATTGGTTACAAATTACCCTTCGATTCTCTTCGCTTTATTACTTTTTTATAATTATGTTTCTCATTACAGGAATTTGGAAGCACTGCCTTAGATTTTATAGAAGACGATCCTTTAACCCTGAAGGAGGTCCACGAACATATGATAAGGTCACCACCGCCAACTAGTTGCTGGCCGCACGGTAACAAACCTCTTTTACGAAATAAAAAAAGTAAAATTAACAAGTCTATGGAAAAGTTTGCCGCCTTTTTTCATAAATTGAAAAAGTATATTGTACTAACTTTTTATAAAAACAACATGTGTAGGGGCTCTCATTAAAATAATATAAGTTTGTTTTGCTTTTATTAAATAATATAATAATTTAGTTTAATTAATTCTATTAGTAATATTTTTTACTATGCTGATTATTTCAAAAATAAACGTTAAAAAATGTAATCAACTTTCTTTTAAGTAGAAATAGCAATGATAAAGTTATTTGTACTAGAATTGGGTACATTTATTTGTCAAAAAATTGGTAGGATAATCTACCTATTTTTTGCAAATTATAATTTTAGAAAGCAACGAAATAAAATACTTGCTTGGTAAAACGTGTCTAAATTCACTAATGACTTGCATTGATTTTAAATCACCGATTTCCGTAAAGATTATAAAGTAGGTCAAGGTGAATGACCGATTACATTTGATTAGCGTCGTGTATCATGATAAAACGATATCCAATGAACATAAGATAGCTAATCATTGTTTAACGTCTGTCTGAAATATTTAGGCTACAAATAAATGCTCCATTTATTTTTGCGTCTTATATTTTTTCATGTAATGTAAAAAAAAAATAGATATTGACGAATTTTGGTGTAGTTTAATATACTGCTAACGATAATAGGGATGATGGCAGGGAATGAAAATTAATAATCATATTAGTCCGTAAGTTAGGTAATGATAAAATATTAGACACGTATTTTTTTATTTTGTCGTATTATAAAACAATTCTTAGATAAAACGAATCAAAGTTTAGGAGTGGGGGCTAAAACGTCATTTCTACGTATAAAATGTACATAGAAGTGACGTTACGCGACATTTCAACATCAATATATCGTCGAAAGTACTCGTTTCTGTAAGAAAATAAAAAATACGTGTCTAATATTATTAAATCATCTATCGGACGGACATTATAATAAAAAAATGTCATCTACCCTATTGCGAAGATAAATATGTATTTCATAACATTAGCATAGTTTTACAAGCATTGAAACTCATTTTATGTAGTTTTAGCAAAAACTTGTCTTTCATGGTGGTATTTTATTAAAGGAAAATCCTGATTCTGATTGTAAAACATCTTTAGAACTTCGAATATTTTTTTGGTACTTCTAAGTGAGATTTTTATACCTAACATATTATATTATGAAAGTAATAACCATAGGTACTTATGTATAATATTCTGACGATTGCTTTTCAGTATAATCACCCTTTTAACAATAACTATACCTAACAATAAGCTAGCTAATACCAATAACATAGGATCCCGCTTATACTAATGCTAATTTTCGATAATATTTTTACAATTTCCCGCCCTCCGTGAAGATACACTGTCGTATCGTGCGTCGAGCGCTTTCGACTTTGCTGCGGACAGTCCTGTCTCTTACAGCGCTTACTCAGTCAATTCCCAGGAAAAGGTTACTAACATTAACTATTTAAGCGTGCCGTCCTTTATGTTCGTGTGTCACTACTGTTTGCTTTTGTGCACTTATTTATATTTTATTGATTTTTGGTTGACGCCATATTGGTTTTGATTGTAGAATTAATAATTAATATAAATTTACAATAAATAATAATCAAAGTCTTTGTATCCAATCAGTGTATTTGTTATTTTTTTTAATATATACAGGTTGTATTATGTTTTATCTGTAAATATGTAGTTTTTGTATAAGCATGCAAAAGGTTGATATTTACATGAAATTTATTAATGTATGTATGTTACAGGAACTGCTAGGCGGTAGGTCTCCACGTCGTAACACAAGATGTGACGAATCCCGGAATAATAATAATTCGAGTCGACCTCGATCCTCCAGATCGGCCTCTCCAAGGTCACATGACCTCACCCTCTGTGGACGACCTCTATCGTTACCAGGTAATGCAAACTAATCTTTTGTAGTTTTCACTAATTAACACATTGTATGCTGTGTCGGGCAGTGATACTGATGATCGACGCTAGGGGAGGATTAGCCTTTAAAACAGTTTTTTTTTGCATTTAAAGGCTTTAAAATTATTGACTGTGGCCTTCTCTATATAAAAGATGCTTCGCTTGTTGAACGAGTTGAAGATCGCAATTTAAATGGTTCGGGTTATCAGAAAATGCACTGTGTTTTTTTTATAGCACAAGCCGGTAAACGACCTGACAGATCACCTGATGGTAAGCAATCGGCGCCGCCTATGGACACTCGAAACACCAAGGCGTTACAAGTGCGTTACCGGCCTTTTGGGAATTGGGAATTTGAGGATTGTGGGGGATTCGGGGATTCGGGAGACTGGGGAGGGGGGTAATTGGGCCTCCGGTAACCTCAGTCACACGACGAAACACAAAGCAAGCGTTGTTTCACGTCGGTTTTCTATCAGGCCGTGGTATCACTCCGGTCGAGCCGGCCCATTCGTGCCGAAGCATGGTTCTCCCACACTTGATCTTGTATCTTTTTGTAACTTTTCGATTTTTCTTGTGCCAGAAAAGGTTTTCTCGATGTCGATCGATGACAATTTTCGCTTTTTCATAATTGTTACTTAACTGCTCAATCCCCGAGCAGTCACCGGTGACCGCTCTCCACTAACTCCATTATAGACCTTATTTCCGATGCTTAGAGACTACTTTTGTATTAACAAATTTTGGAGATTTTCGGTACGATATATCAACGGTCTAACAGGATGGAAGAAGTAAGTTTGTTTGTACCGTGTATTTAAACATCTTAATTTTTTTTAAGTTAGCCAACAAAATAGTTTGGACCTAAAAGAGATTCCCCGTGTTGTTATACATAAAGGTACGTTCTATGTTACGGTGTATTGTGTAACTAGCACTTTTAGCAATGTTACTGTAGGCTATATTATTTCTTTATAAAAACTAACTAATACAACAGATTTCTTGTCAAAGTCAAAGTCAAAGCATTTATTTCAATTAAACCATAATTTGGTATTTTTGAAACGTCAACAAATACAAAATAAATAATAGGCTGTCAGTCAGTCTGTCAATGAAGCTGGGTAAAGCTAGGTGCTCATTCCAAAATGTAGATTCGAATTCGATTGTATCTTACTAATTTAATAGGCTAGACAGAACTATAATTTTGAATTTTATTTATTATATCTCTAGATTGAGCTAGAACATCGCCAAAGTATTATACTACGTTTATAGACAGCACATACCCTTCCTCAAAGACTATAAAATACCAAAGTCCACCACTTAACACACAAAAACCTACCTTATTAACAAGCTCTTTGGTTTCAATTTCCAGGCGAGAGTCACCTTCGGAACGCGCTAAGCAAAAAGCAAGGGAGCAATCAAAGCGAGAGATTTTCCCTTCTGCAACACCCACGCCCTCTACGGAGACCTCACAATCGACGAGACGAGGACAGTGTCCAACTTGTGCCAGACTGCGATAAGTAATACAATGCATATATAAAGATATATAATCTGTTCTAACACAGAATATATGGATATATCGGTGATATAGATCTTATTCTGGAAAAGTCAAATAACAAACGGTTTTTATTAATGACCTTGACCTTTGAATTCAAGGTCAGATTATTTTCGAGTTCTGTTAATAACTAAGTATTAATTTTTGTACTCATTCGGTCAGCATTTGTTCTTAATATCTAGCTGAAAGTTGAAATTAAATATTTTGTGTAATTTTTCCGACTTTGGGTCAAGGTCAAGGTTATGGTAAAATCGTTGAAGATCAAAAGATCGGCGTGTAATGTGTTCCGGAATTGAAGGTAGAATATTGACGGCAGTTCGGCTATTCGTCAGCCAAAGGTCATTCACTTGTTAATGCCCTGAAGGATTGAACTTTTTCTTCCAAACCTATGTAGATACATGGGGGGTTGTCGCGAATGCTCTTCTAATGAATGTAATTCGTAATTTCTTGCATTATATGTCTACTTAAGACCAAGTCTAATTTATGATAAAAACACCACATATGATTTACGTTGACACCCTTTTATCTGTGTGCACAGATACAGTTGCATTTTAGGTTACACAAAAATAATGCGTGTAGGTCAAAATGCACGATAGTAAATTCTTTAATAATAATTAAAAATTCAAGTTATTTACGAGTTTACGGTCAGTTTAGTTAAACAAAAAGTTTATGAAAAAAGATAAAGATTTCAATAAATTTTATATTGAAAAATTGAGAGAAATTAAACGAAAAATAAAAGAAATTAAAAAAAAATATCGACACAATAAAATAGTATAGAGAAAACAGCACAGTATTCTTAAAATACGAGTTATAGGATACCACGAAACCTTTTTAAATAAATAAAATACTTAAAATAGATGAAGTTTTAGATAATGTTTTTCTTAGATACAATTTTTGAGGTTATAATCTAAAGTTCTTGTTAATACGTATGTGTTTTTGTAAAACAATGGTTTGTTGGTAAATTCTGGCTGTTCTAAATTTCCAGACTCCTTGAGATATTAACTTAATAAATAAACAGTATCAATGGGGGCTTCTATATTGTTGCTCACTAAATAACACTAGTCTATTTCTGTAAATTTTCGTCCAACTGGAAATTGGGTAATTTCCCTAATCAACACTAGATTATTTCGACTATTCAATACAATAGAATATTAAAAAATAATTACACTTTCATTTATTGATTTTGTGACCAACTTAATTAACTCAGTTTAAGTATATTTCCAGCACATTTTTAAGTAATAAGTATTCCGTGACGTCACAATACACAATCTCATACAAAATTCATAGAAAACTGTAGTTTTTTACAGTTCGAAAAAAGTATTGAATTCGATTAGTTAGTTGGCAAGTACCCAATAGTTTGTGTCCTCATAAGAATTGACGTTCAATATTTAACTTTCAATATTTAGCTGATGGACTAAAAATTGGACAGAAAAAGTCTTGCTACATTTGCACCATCTGGTGATGAAAAAAACTTAATTTCATACTTGACTTTTAGATATTGTTTTAAAGTTTGAATAATAGGATTTATCGTAGACCAAAATTTTGCAATAACAAATACATTTTGATATTATTTTAACGATTTTTTGAAACAGCTGCAACATTGCCGAATATCCGATATTGCCGAAAATATCCGTAATGTGCCGTAATCACCGGCAATGTTAACAGCACTATTGCCGAAATTCGCCTCTAGTGGTAGTTACCACTTGATTCCTACAAAATGCTCACTGTAGTTTTAAAGCTATCCTTACCAAATTAGGTGGAATTCGAAGTTAGTTGTTAGGTCAATAGTATTATTGTTACTATTATAATAAGCTTTATTAGTTAATTCATAGAATAGCGAAACGCTAAAGTAGTTGGTAGAACAATTGGGGAGGAAATTGTCTTTTGAAATATGTATAAACATGGAAAAAATACTGAAAAAATCATGATATTATACATAATACATGTAATGTACATACATGTAAAAAATATTTGAGATTTATTTTCGTGTTGTGGTATTTTGCGTCGAGCAGATTGTTCTAATTATTACGTTCAACTACGTTTCTGAATAGATAATTCAATTTAATTTATCCCTGATATTAAAGACTACAAAAAGAAATAAAAGAATCATTCAATTTGTTTGTTATCGATAGAAGATCGGTATAGTTCGGTGAGGAGATTTCTAGTAGTTTATTTAAATCATAGAAAATTAATAGTTACCCCGAATTTATTTATACTAGTTCAAAATATATCCCACCATTTTTATTATTATTTTTAGTCCAAAATAATCGTAAATAATAGTACAGTCAGCATTGAAATGGTGCAATAATATTGAAATTGTTGATAAGTGCTAGACACTTGGTTAAGGTTGGGTTCGAGTCCCATTATTTGTGAAATATCACACATATTATACTGCCAGAATATTAATGTTGAAAAATCTGCTATATTTCAAGGTCAAAGGTCACATTAATGACATTTAAAATGAAATTGTAACGATATTTAAGCCGAAATATTATTTAATCTTCACAATTTATCTCTGTTTCAAAGTTAAAGTCATAATCAAAACAATTTATTCTAATTAGACCAGTACAAGGCTCTTTTGGATGGTAAAAAAACTATGAGTCTATCGGTCAGTCCTCTAGTGAAATTATTTGCTCGTTCTAAAGCGTAGATTCCTATGGAGAAGAACGAGCAAGAAACTCCATAGGTTACTCTTTGTCATCAGGGGGCTTACTCTTGAATCCAATTCCGATCGATCGACTTTGGTATTGTGAAATTTCGTACTCTTGAGTTGCAACACTAGCGCCCATTGCACCTGTATTGCGTGGATATTGAATTAACTAAATGGTATTGAGTTTGTTTTTATATTCCGTACTCTGAATGCTATTTCAACAGCTACGTAAGGGGTTGTACAGTTTTGACATTGAATAATAATTGAGATTTTATTGGATTTAAATTGCATTGACAAGAGTAAGCACCCTGTTCTTGGTTACTTTGTTTATCTCAGTGCTATGTATAATATCTTATGAATATAAAATTTTAGTGAAATCTACGTGTATTATAATTATTTAGTGTCTATTCTAAAGTTATTTTAGTAAGTATTTTTTAATATATTATAACAAAAATTATTAATTTTTGACGTTAATTGTACTTAACAATATAATGTACTTGTATTAAGAGTAAATCGTCAAAAAATGGCGGTTAGGGTAAATATAATTTCGATGTTTAATTGTAAAATGTTTACTAATTAATTAATAAAATAATTTTAATTATAATGAGTCAAACCCCGAAAATTAAAAATCAGTTTTATCGATCGAATTTAATATTAAAAAAAACATTGGTTAAAATCGTGTCTATTGTCAATGTCATCTAAATATATTTACTTTACGTCGTTTTAAATGTAATTTAGAGATTTCTAATTAAATATTTATTTATGTACGTCTGTTAAATTAAATTATTATTTTTAAATTTTAATGTTAAATAGCTAAAATTTAATTTTGGCTTGTTCATTTAATGTCTTCAATATTTTATTTTAAAGAAGTATGCTAGATGCGTATGATGTTCATGAATAAGAGTCCCGTTTTGACTTGAAACTAGTCGATCTTATCTCAATTAGTTCACGCGAGTAGGCCGTTATTTTCAAATATTTCTAGAATCAAGTCATTTGGTATTCCATTGTCAAAGCCTTCATATGTATGTTTTTCCAATAACCTCTTCGGTCCTGTAGTGTCTACATCTACTGTCTGAGTAAAGATGACCAACCTTCGATTATCATGTCACAAAATTTTTTTTTAAGTATTAATGTTATACTACCTCTGCCAATCTCCTATGGGATTGAAGGGCGTGATATTAGATTATGTTATATTCTATATTAATCCCCTCCCTGTTAAGTTTTGATATTATTAAATAATAATAATTATTATTCTTATATTTATCTACTATCTTGTGTGTTTCACAACCACTGAGCTTATGTCACATAGTTATTATTAGTTTATTAGAAAGGGGTATTTGACTAAATAATAAGAATTATATTATATTTATTATTTAATAAGCCAGAGCATACGGCGTAATTTTATACGCGTAGGCAACGCGCGTCTACGGTGCGTATACGCGCAGTATCTCTTCGCTCTTTCTCGATCGCTCCGTGTGCTTACTATATCCTGCGTGAACGATCTAGAAGCCAATGTGGAGCGGTGTGGCGCGGAAAATAACAAATCCGTCCTACGTGACAATACACCCGTGGGATGCGGTGCGAATCGGCGCGAAATGACGCGAATTCGATCAATTGGTTTGATATTTTCGCGCGAACTGTCATATGTGGATGCGATGCTGTCAAGTTTTTGTTTGGTTATAATGTCGACAATAAAAACGAAGTACGCATGCATGTGGGACATAGAGTCTGTCAAGCGAGTCTAGTCCCATGAAAAAGGCGGCAAATTCAAAAATCTTTCAGGTGTCAACACTTGTATAGCACGCTGGTACTTATTGATACTTGAATTTTTGATAAAAATCATATTATTCGAAATAAATAAATAAAAACAATAAGTTTTTCATGAGACTGGACTCGCTTGACAGACTATAGCCGCCGCGTCGCACCGCATCGCATTGAATTTGCGTGTCACAGCTTCATAATCGTGTTCACTTCTAGATCGCTCACGCAGGACATAGCGGTTTTAAAGTTACGTTTGAATTTCTTCGAGATCGAATACGCCGTGTGCTACGGGCCTTACATGTACTCAGACTTTTAATTTCATTTAATTAACTCGTCGAGTACCGGTTTTATAGACACAATTAAAGAACAATAGGTCGCGGTCACCGGTGACCGCTTGGTGTTTGACAGTTTAAATTCGGTTATAACAAAATTAATCGATTTGACATGTATGAACTACATGGATTAAATCGCTAATAAAATCGATTCATATCGATACCCCTACGAGGAATAAATGAATTAATGTTGTGTTTATAATTACTCTTTGTTTTTAAAGTCATC